CTATTTTTAAAATTTTGTAATTTTTTTCTGTTGCATTTTTTATATTATTTCCCTTCAGTTATTTTTTCCTTTTATATATATTTTTTTTTCTTTTTCATATATTTTAACAATTTTTGTTTATTATTTTTAAAATTTTATATTTTTTTCTTTTATATTTTTTTATTTATTTTCTGTGACTGCATTTTACAATTTTTAAAAAAAAAATTATTTTATACTTTTTTTTTCTTCCGTTTTATTCTCATTTTTTTCCTTCAGTTAATTTTATATTTTATATTATATATATTTTTAAATCAAATTTATATATTTTTTATGGATTACGAGAGACGCTATGGGTCATAGCGACTTCCCTTTTACTTTTTCCATATTTAATGTATATTTTTTATTATATTTTATACTTATTTTTTTTACATTTTTTTCTTCACTTAATTTTTTCTTTTATATTTTATATATTTTTAAAATCAATTTTACATATTTTTTTCTTTTCCATTTTTTTATATTATTTCGCTTCAGTTATTTTTTTGTAAAAATATTATATCTTATTATAAATTATAAATTATACACTATGACAAAATTAAATAAATTACATTTTTTAAACATGTTATATGCTACAGTTTTAAATAAATTTTTTAATTAAATAAAATTAATTAGTGTCGCTATAGGCTACAATGACTTTATATGAAGTCATTTTGTGTCGCTACTGGCTGTAGCGACTTTAATAATATGGCGTTCATGACTTTTAAAAAATAAAAAAATTACACGTGACACTGGTGTCGCCATGTCCCATAGCGACATCGTTGTAAACTACTCCAAAGGTGTAAATAGTTTCAAAAGAGCCCCATTTATATAAATTATTTTAAAAACTACCCTACAATAGAAAGTTTAAGGGAACCTTATTTTGGCAATCTAGGAGGGTAATTGTTCAAAACCTTCTTTGAGTAAATTTTGTTAAGTCTCATTTAAGTCTTTAATCAATGTGGAGTAAAGTGTGAAGTCGAAGACTACAACTATTAAATAATTATTAGAAAAGTTGTGTGGTTCATTATGAATAACTAGTGGGCTAACTACACATGTGACTTAATAATGCATGTCAAGGTTGCAGTATATCTATATCCAATTATATTATTCCTGACAATGGAATTAGACTTTTATCAATAATATGATTATAAAAAAATCACTGCTTTTATATATGTAAAGTAAAAAAAAAAAAAGGCTATTGTTGATTAAAGTTTGAAATTTGTTATTGTTGGACTATATTTCCTATAGACCAAGTTTGCTAAGTCTGATGGCTAATTAGTCCGCTATTCACTTTGGGCCCAAAAACATTTTGATCAGTTCAAAGTACAATTTATTAATTTAATGCTGGAAAAGTTAAAAGTACCACAACCTTAACAAAGTTTATCTTGAAAAAAAAAAAATCATACAGAGAATTACGCCAAACAAAAGTGAAAAATAAAAAGTAAAAACAAAATAATGCTCCCTTCAAGAACTTGTGAGAAGTGTGAACACATCAAAATGATGAATGTACAAGCACAAAACATGTAACTAAGTGGATGTTTGCATTTGGAACAATTTCATTAAGGTGGATCGATCCTCTCTCTTTACGTTCAAACGGTGAAAATCAGAAAGAACTTAATCTATTACGTAACTTCTGTGTAACGATGATCAAAGTAATAATATAGTCCTTTCTATCATGATAAGTGTTATTAAGTTATTTTACACGCGCTTAAAAAAACAATTTTACAAAATTCATTTTATAATTCAATTCTTTTTTATCAGAAAGTGCAACATAATAAATATTTTTTTAAAAATATTATTAAAAATACAAATAAAAAATAATTAATGCTACATTAAAAAGTTAACAAAAACACTTATTTAAACTTTTTTAATTAAATATATTTTTAGTCCTTCAAATTAAATTTTTTTGTTTTTAGTCCTGTAATTTTCAAAAATATTATTTTAGTCTCTAAGATCATTAATAATATATCTAAAAGTGACAAATTAAGATGATTATGCAATATCAATTAAATTTAATGTGATTTTCACTAATAAGGACACCAATAGATAGATTTTATACAATAATTTTGATACATTTTTTTAACAAAATTTCAATATAAGAACTAAAATAAGATTTTTTGAGATGACATAAACTAAAAGCAAAAATTTTAAATTTAAAGATAAAAAATAAATTTATCCTAAATTTAAGAAATTAAAAATATATTTAAATCATGTTTTTCAAGTATGACATATTATAAACCCTAAACACATATTATAAAATAGAGGTAGTAATATTTATTGTTAATATCAACATTATATAAAAATATAATGTTATTAATATCAAAATTATTATAAAATTAATTTTTACTTATTAATATCGTATAATAAATAATATTAATGAAATCAATTTAATTTGACATTAAATATAATCAAGTTCATTAAATTTAAGTTATATCCAATCAATAATTTTTTTATAAAGTCAAATTTAATTAATGAATTTAATCATATCACAAATTTATTAAAAGAGTTATACACCAAACACAATAGCAGAGAACATGATATTTGTATTGAAAAAATATAATTACAGTAACTATAAATAAAATAAAATATATAAGTGGAGATAATTTTTATGTTGTAAGTTAAATATATAAGATGAGTTATGTCTAAAATTATATTCTAATATTTTTTAGAGTTACAATTCAATTTATTATTTACTATATATTTTTTTAGAGATGAGATGACAAAATTTTAAAATTTAAGCAATAAAATGTACATTATTAAAAGATGCGACAAAATCACAAAAATATGAAAGATAAGGAGAAAAAATTGCAATTAAACCACGTTTTTATGAATAGGATCGACCTTCGTTTTATTATTTTTTATTACTTTAAATTAAAGTGACTGAAGCAAATTGAAATATATAAGAAAAAAAAACATGGTTGTTACTAAATAATGTTGGCCACCATCAATGGTATTTGTAAAAATGTGATGAAATACAGATCATTTAATCAAATTTTAATGGTCAAAATTGAGCTACTAATAAATTTTTAGTATATAATAATCCAATCGTCGAACACACATATCGGAAATGACTTTTTTTATATTTTATTTTATAAATAATAAGAATTGAAAATTTGAGTCATAGTCATAGAATTATATAATTAATCAATAATACAAATTAATTAATTATTAAATGACTACTTAAAGTTGTATGCATTTTTTATTTTTGATAATTTGAATATAATATAATATTATATTTATAAATATTTATTTATTACATTAACCAAATATTCTTACGATAATCATCCTTTTCTATACTATATATAGTTCCCTATATATGTATAATTGTATATAGCTTAGAATATAGAAATCCATAGTAATTATTTGAAGAATTAAATTATTTTGACACGAAGAATTATCTCCTTGTCCCTATTGAATATATTACTTATAGATTTGGTATGAAAGACATATAATAGCACTTGGATAATTCTATTCATTTGGGGGAAATAGCATTCATCATCATAGACAATATAACATGCACTGCCTTATAAATCGGTGCCGGCAATCTGTACTATCTGTTTTTTCGTAATACCACAAACTTTTTCTATAAAAGATCATTTAATCACGATTTTGTGTTGGAAAAGATAAATACATCCAATGTTCGAATCATAAGGCTTCTATTTCCACATTAAAAGCATTACTAAAATAAAAATCTGAAAAAATAAAAAGCTCGTCAACTCTTTATCCCCTTTCACTTTACTTATTTCTGTCAACAAGTATATGAAATTTTGTTTCACTTTCAGTTTTATAATTATTAATTTTAAAAAATTATAATCATATATATATATATATATAATATTTATATAGATAATAGCTTTATAAGTAAACACTTTTTATACTTACAATTTTAAGATTAAAAATGAGTTTGACTTTACTTATAAATTACAATTTTAGATAGAATTGAAAATTTATATTTACTTCACTTTAAAAAATAAATAAAAATTAAAATATTTAAGATATATCAAATCGGTTTTCAATATTATTTTTTTAATAATTTGTGACAATCACTATATTTTATGGAATCATTAAATATGTGAATATAAAAAATAGTCATATCTATTATTTTTAAATATTTATTCATAATATTTATTTTTTACCTCGAACAAATTTTATCTGCAAGTATGTGTTTGGAATTGTTTTGTGACATCCTACAATGATACCCAGGGGCCAGGGGCGCAGATAAATTTCACTGTAATTGGTCTTCAAAAGCCCACCGAATAACACTGTTTATGTAGAAAATTAGCCGTAGTCAACGTCTTCTCCCATCTCTTTCCAAATCATAAATCATTCCCTTTGTTTGAAGTTAACTTTCAGTTTCATCTCCATTTTCTTCATTTCCCACTTCCATTCTCTTCTACAAATCTAAATAACCACATAATAGTATTTCTTTGAGATCAATAGCCCAAAAATCATCAATTCATCTCATCATCTTTACCATATTATAAACAAGACTAAATAAAAAATTACATGCACCTTTTTTTTTTCTCCACAAATATTTTTATTTCTTTATAACATTATTGAATTCTATATGATACGTTTGGTTTAAAAAAAAGTGAAAAGGAAAGATTTAAAAAAAATAGAGATGGTTTTATAAGTAACAACTAACAGCTTCAAAGTGTATGCTAATTAATTATTTTTGACAATAATCAATTCCCTTAGTACAATTAACAACTATTTTTTTTTAACTATAATGATATATGATCAATTGTCCCATGGTTATAGTGTGTTTGGTTTTATGTTAAGAAATCATAATAAATACAAAATTATGATAAATCCACTACAAAATAATTATTTGTTGCTTTAAAATGTTTTTATAAATATTACTGGCACTCATCCGAACACTACAAAATAATCTTTCTATTTATTTTTAAAACTAAACATTCTTAAAATTCATCGAATTTTTGATCCATTTCTATTTGCCGTACATGTGTTTCCGTTTGACAGAGCATAAAATATTATTAGCAGTGTAAGTGTTCAAATGAAAATCCTATAAAATAAAACAACTACATTTCCTCCGATTCCGGTTCCACCCACCCATTGACCTTGTTCCCTCGAAGGTTTCACCACATTCCTCACGTTTACCGAATTCTTCATTTATCATTACGATACACAGCACAATGTTTCTCCATTGCTCCCACTGATGGATTCTCCTTCTTTCTCTTCCTCCTCCTCCGAGTTCGCTTCCATAGCCACCGCCAATCAGGTACCTCCCTTTCTCTCGAATCAATCATGTTCTCTCCTTTTCTCTATCTGGGTAGTGGGTGCAAAACCATTTTTTTTTTGACTTTGTTCTTCTATCTGGCAGCAAGGACTATTTATTTATTATTTTAATCTGGGTACACCCCAATTACTGGTTTTGTTCTACCTCACTTGGTTTCTTTTGAAGTGTTGGAAAGTTTCTAAATTGGGTTGTTGTTTACTTGCTTTGTTGTGTTGTGACAGAGTGTGGCCCGGAGCGGCGGAGAAGGCGCGGCGGCGGAGCAATCACGGCGGTGGCACGACGTATTCTGGTTAGGAATATTCTTGATCCATTTGATTGGGCTGGGGTTCCTTCTGGGGGTTCTTGGCCTTAATAGGTTTGAGAAAGAGAATAGGCTTAACATTGACAAGTACACGTCCCGGTTTTCTGAGAACGAATCCGGGTTGACTGAGACTTACTGGCCACTGTATGCTGCTGCTGGTGGGGTTGGGACTGTTCTTGGATGGATTTGGTTGGTGTTGTTGGGTTCCCAGGCCACCCAAATGATGAAGGTTTCTGTTCACATACTCACCACTTACCTTGCTGTCATCAGTGTTTTGTGTTTTTGGGCTGGCCAGATTTTCTGGGGGGTTGCTTTTGCTATTGGAGCTTCTATCCAGTTCCTTTATGTCATATCAGTCATAGACAGGTATTGGCCTCAAATTCTCTCTTACATAAGGTATTGGATTGGTAGCATAAAGTTTGTTATATGACTGGTAGAGACACTGGACGTGCATATTGACCTTGAATGTTAGTATGAGTACGGGTACTTGGTCAGTGTTTTGTGAAATTCACTGTTCTTTTAGAACTGGAAAAAATGTGTGTTTTTCATGTCAGCAAATGGGATTGGAATAGCAAATTATTCCGAGTATGGTCCTGTTTTGATAAATTTCTAATGTCTCAATAAACACTTATTGTAGAAGAAAATAATAACGTAAAATGAATTAAGTTTCTCTCATAAATTAAAATTAATCTGCACATAAGCTGAGTTGTAGAAAGTATTTTATTTAGCTTTTTCTATAAGTTAAAATTAGCTTATGCATAAGTTGATTTACAGAATCACTTTAAGTTAGTTATTCCGATAAGTTAAAATTAATTCATGCATAAGCTGGTTATAAAAGCTCCTGCCTCTCTCATTTAACTTCTCCAAAAATTGACTCATTTTACCTTTTTTTTGCTTCTTCTATATAGACTTGTTGAGAAGTCTATCCAAATTGAGCCTATATAAGTTTATGTAGAAGTCAAGAAAGCATCTTGGTTTAAACAGTGGTGGTTGATTGGTATATTTTATAGGACAATTTCACTGTTATACAATGTCCTAGTTTGAATATATTCCCTTTTTTTTTTTGCCATCCAATCCTATGTTTTCAACAGTCTCCCTTCCCTGGAAATGAAAATAAACAGTTGCTACATTCAGTTTTTGAAGATTGTTTTTTCTTTGTATGTCTTCACAGGTTAATGATGCAAGTTTATAATTTTATGGTTAAGTTTCTTCTGCTGCTTCTTTTTAGCTTTTTGTTTAATTGATCGAGTCCATGAGGTGGTTTCTTGTGGCTTCTTTTCTTTTCCAGACTTCCATTTACGATGTTGGTTCTGCAAAAAGCTGTGAAGATGGTTTGGAATCTTCCTGAGGTTAGGAGAGTGGCATATGCATTTATGTTTGTCGTGCTTTTATGGATGGCCTTATGGTCATTTGGAGCAGCGGGTGTTGTGGCTTCGAGCATGGGTGATGGTGGCCGCTGGTGGCTTCTTGTGGTGAGCTGGCAAGTTTTGCTCTTCATTCTATATGTTCTTGTTTGGGCTGGTTTTGGTTTGGCATCAGATTACTAAAGCTTTTCTCATCTGATTACACTGATATTGCATTTCATGCTTTCAGGTTCTCTCTGTGAGCTTATTCTGGACAGGTGCAGTACTATGTAATACTGTACATGTTATAGTGTCTGGGATGGTGTTTCTTGTTCTTTTTCATGGTGGTAGAGATGCAGCTTCTATTCCAGCTAACTCCTTAATGAAATCTCTAAAGTATGCTTTAACAACATCTTTTGGCAGCATTTGTTATGGTTCATTATTTACTGCAGCTATTAGGACACTGCGGTGGGAGGTAACCAATCATTATGACCAACTTGAAGTCATTTATGGAGGCTTTTCTTTTTCGTTTTTTGCTTCTATTAAAATTTTGAATTGTCTTTCAGATACGGGGATTTCGGTCAAAGATCGGCAATAATGAGTGTTTACTTTGCTTGGTTGATTTTCTTTTCCATCTTGTGGAGACTCTTGTTCGTTTCTTTAACAAGTATGCCTATGTTCAGGTTCACTTCTGAGTCCATTGCACTAACTAGTCCTCTATTTGGTAGAAATTACATCTTCTATATGACAATCAAATATGGGATATTGTGGATTTACATTTAGTTTAATTTTTGGTAATTACAAATGAGGAATATGTTAAAATACCTGGAATGAGGTTCTTTGCAGCATCTTCTTCAGTTTCAGCTATCTGTTCAACTGGGGTGAGGTTCTTTTATTGTGAGACTAACGGGGGATCAAATGTGACTTCTGGTGCTTCCTAAGGAAATGCCATTGCCAGAGTTGTCCAAGTTAATCAGTTTATTATCATCCAAAATCATATTTTAATTGTTTTAGCTAAGTCAAGGATATAAAGTGGTTAAACATCGAGTAATAAACAAAAGTTTATAAAGATATGGAAAACATTTATGCTCTGACACCACTCAGCATTGCAAGAGGAGACAAAGATAATGCATTTCTTGAATGATTATAAAGATCTGCGCGGGGCATATTCCAACACCAGATTCATTATAAACTGTGGATCTTTAAAAACAGTAGACAACTTGTGTTGAAGTTTGTTAAATGTACAAGTTCTTGGAAAATTTTGACATGTTTCATGGTTATGTAATGTCCCTTACAGATTGCTGTTCATGGTAAAAGCTTTAACCGCTCAGCTAGAGATGCATGGGAGTTATTCCAGTCAACTGGGGTTGAAGCACTTGTGGCCTATGATTGTTCTGGTGCTGTCCTTCTAATGGGCACTGTTTTTGGTGGACTGATAACTGGAACTTGCTCTGGTGTTTGGGCATGGGTTAAATGGGGGGACAGAGTTATTATGATTGGGTCTACGTCCATGCTGATGGGGATGGTACTGGTAAGTTAAAAATATGCATTCTCCTTGTTTAAAGTTTGTTCTTGGGACTTGGATTTCAAGCTACTTGTTAAACTTTTTATTCTTTAAAAATGGTGATGATTGTTAAGTTATTGTTCATAACCCACTTCTGATCAATTGGATCATATCAATATAATCGCTTTAGTGCCAACACTAGTTTACAAGAACAAGAGTGATAATAATTTGTGTCTTTTAATTAAGTTGTCAAGAGTTTGAATCATGTGGCATTTTCCATAAATCAAAAGGCTTATAATGTTGACCATGAGAAGGATTCAAGCTGTGCAATGTTGAATATGTTAATTTTAATTATAGCTATGTATGACATCTAAATAGTGGTGGTATATTACTTTTCTGTGGTATGTTGACTATGGGAGTCAGTCAATACTGTATATTGTTGAACAAGTGACTTAAAATATGTAACTATTCAGGTTGGATTGGCAATGGTTGTGGTGGAAAGTGCTGTTACATCGATATATATCTGCTATGCAGAAGACCCCTTATTGATTCAGAGATGGGATGCTGAATTTTTCAACCAGATGTCTGAGACACTTCATCAGCGACTTCAATATAGGAGTGCTCGAGCAAGGGAAGTTTTAGCCCACAATCGACTTCATGACCTGGTACAACAAAACGCTTCTATTTGAGGGTGCTACAACACTTTGTGTCTGTTTATCCATTACATGTCAACCATATTTTTCATTTCATATTTTCAGTTAAATTAATATTTAATAGGAGTAGGGTAAAGTCTCTGGTCGTAGTGTGGTTATCTATCAGCAACGTTGATGAATTTGATACGTGTAGACTACAAAATGTACAGCTTTTTTTGGCAAAAAATAAAATAACATTTACAGTATTGAGATATTTTTCTGGCACATAATTTTTGGGTGAGTGTTGTTGAGTTTGGTTTGAAAATTTCAATTTCATAATTAACATTTACCTATATTATAAATTTTGAAATCACAAAAAAAAAAAAGATTTTAATGCTTTGTAAATTTGGAACTGAAACAATTTTTACAATTACTTTTACACTGGTAACATAGAAAATCAGAAATAGATGTAAAATTGAGAAAAGATTTTGGAAATTAGGAATGTCAATTGAGTCAATTTAACTTGTCTTGTTTTTAACCAGTAGAAACTTATGGTTGAATTGAGTTAGACGTATTTTTTCTTCGAGTTAAAAATCTCAAGCTAACTCAATTTGTGTGTGTTAGGTCCACCAAGTGTTTAAAAAATTATAAATAACTATCAAATTTTTTGATTAAATATAGCTAAAGAGACAAAAATAATATAAAACTAGTAATGATTGACATATTCAATATGACATATATTTAAAAAGTTATTGATAAAGTAAGTCTAACAACATTAAAATAAGTCTATAATATAATCATAATTTTATAAAAAATAAAGTCCATTAATAATAATAAAATAAATTCATAAATAATCATAAATAATTTTTAATTAAAACAAATGAACCACAATTACAATATTACGAGTCAATGTTAATAGGTAAAAGTTAAAGAAAAAAAAAGGGACCAATTTAATGGGTTATTTCAACATGCTAACTTAACTCATCATTTTATAAGTGTTGGTCCATATAAACTTGAACTTCAATGATTTGACCAATTTAATCTATGAATTAAACTGATTTATAAGTTTGTGAGTCGATTTGCTTAATCCACATAATATTTTTTATATAAACAAAATTATTTTTTCTATCACAAAATGACTAGTCTAAAATGATGGTTTTCAACATAATTTGATATTTTGTTTATTAATTTTTTTTATTTTTTAGACTTTTTTTTTAGCTTTTTACACGTTCTTTTAGTCGTGTAATGTAATCTAGCCCAAGTCAACTTGTGGGTAATATTTCTTATGCAAATTTTCTAGACTTTTTTTTTTTTGCTTTTTACATATTCTTTTAGTTGTGTAGGCTAGCCCAGTAGCCCAAGTCAACTTCCTGATCGAAGTGAACCAACTGCTATATTGGCCATTCAAAAACATATATAACAAAAAAAAACTGATATGTGGTCCATGATTGAGAAATACAGAATTTGTTTTACCTTTTTCTTTTAGTTGAAAAATAAAGAATTTGTTTTACCTTTTAGAAGGTTCTTTAATATGACGCGCTTTTTGATCAAAATGATTCCCATTTTTATATCAGTTTTGTTATTATCATTTACTATAAACAGTGTTTTGGCTTTATTCAGAATCAGACAGAGCTTTGATATCTGCACGCAACAGCTGCAAACTTCTGTGGTATGTTTGAATAGGTGATAAGATTGATTGTACTACTTTAGAATCAATCTCACAATTATGTCTTTCAATTTTTTATTAATGAAAATTGTACTAATATTACAACATGTGATGTTATTTATATATAATATTCAAACAACTTCTCATATAAGGTTGACCGCAGTAGTTTTAAAATAAAAAAATAATAATTTTTTTACGTATTTATAGAAGCAAAATACTTGATATCGAAGTTGCGATAAAATGAAATATGAGAAAAAGAAGTAGAAGGAAAAACTTTGAAGTGTATAAATGCATGAATTATACGATTTCTAATTTGAGGTTTTCTTCCTGAGTTTGAGGGAAGTTAGGATTGGCCAAAGTTAGCGTAAAATATTGTATATAGTTTTTCTGAGTCTGACACACGCTGCCTGCAGCTCCACACCACACTGCTTCTGCTTCACCCAAAGCCATGTCCAAGAGGTTCCTTTCAAGCAAAGATTTTACTTTAATTAACCTTGCCTAGCTTTTAGCTACCACTCTCTTTCTAGCTTACAATCCACAACAGACCTTAATATAATAATTTGTGTGTCTTTTTACAACAAGCATTCATTATGTAAATTATTTTAGTATTTTAAAATATATTTAAAATTTCAAAAATAACAAGTAGTAATACAGTACTATATAAAAGGAAAGGAATGATAAATGACAGTGAGAAGAGAATTGAAGTTTATTATTTTTGGACTTTGGCCTCAATCTCATCACCATCCCATCGTTCTCAGCATGCACTCCTTCCCATGGCCTTACTTACCTTCACTTTATGTGACATGCATATTAAATATCTGAAGAATATACGTGATGTTGAAGTAAAAACTATCACTTTTGTTATTAATTCAGTATTATAGAATTATATGATAATACAATTAAAATATAATAAATATTTAAATATATAATATATTTTAAATGAAAATAACAAATAATAATATATTTAGTTATTTACTTAAAAATACTAGTATGAGATCATAGCTAGAGATGAATAGCTGAGATGAGCTAGATGGAGGGGAGGTGACAGTTGTGTAGTATCCTGGAGGGAGAGAAGCATGCAGATTGCAGATTGCAGATTGCAGAGTGCAGAGGATAAATCATGTAATGAAGCAGTCCATAATGTTGTCTGAAATACCTGAACTGAATATTGATACTCAAGTATCCAGATCCTCACCCAATGCACTTGTAAGCCAATGTTCTTTTATTTTTATTTTTTTATCTTATATATTTATTAAAACTTTAATTATAAATTATAATATTAAAGGTGTAGAATACAAGAACGTAGTGCTTGTTTCGGGTGATTTACTGTTTACGAGTAACGAAAGGCGAGGAAAGTTAGCGTTTGTTTCCACCGATTTGCGACGATGGAAAGGCAAAGAAAAGCGAGGAGAAACACTATTGCTCTCCTCGCACGAGAGGGAAGAAAAGAGGTGAAAGACACGTAGGATTTGTGAAAATCCGAAAATGCCCCTCCCATGCATGTGCCATGCAGCACAGGATTCACGTTCAAAGAAGGAGCATAATCGATTGCATAATCGATTATGCAGGGTATTTTCGCTGCCAGTGAAAATCGGAACGGCCCCGGAACGGCCCGTTCCAAAAATGCATGTTATGAGAAAAATAAGAAAGCAGAACGGGCCGTTCCAATTTTGGAACGGGCCGTTCCACTTTTGGAACGGGTCGTTCCACTATTAGCCTTTGCGTAGTACTTTATAACCCTAGAACGGCCGTTCCACTTTCGGAACGGCCCGTTCTGGACACATTAATTTGTTTTTAATAAGTGTATATATATATAATATTAATATTTAATTTATAATACCTTAAATTAAATATAATTATTTAATATTAATATTTAATATATATATTAAATATTAATATTAAATAATTATATTTAATTTAAGGTATTATAAATTAAATATTAATATTATATATATATACTTGTTTTTATTTTTATTAATATTAATATTATTATTTATTATAATTAGTATCATTATTATTTATTATGATTCTTATTATTTTTCTAATATTTATTATTATTCTTATCATTATTTATTATTTTTTTAGTAAATAAACCCTATTAATATAATTTTATTGTAATTATTATTAATTACAATAAATAATATTATACTCATTTTTAATCCAAGGGTAAAAGTGTAAATTATATATTCATCTCTTAAATTTTTATTTTTTATCTATCATTAAATTTAAAGCAAATATTTAAATTAATTTATTTTTAAATTAATTTTTTATAATTTTTTTAGTTAAAATTTATATATTTATCTTTTAATTATAATAATTATAAAAAAAAATTAACCTAAGGGCAAAATAGTAATCTTTCACAATTATTAATTAAAAAATCTATTTTTATCTATCACATCAATCAATTCATTCACAAACTTTCACAAACTTTCTCTACACTTTCCACTCACTTTCCCTTAATCCAATCAACCTCACTTTCCACTCACTTTCTCTTCAAATTCTTCCTTTTCCACTCTCCTTTTTCCATCCTCAAATCCAATCAAAACCTTTATGTAGTTAACAAACCGTGCAAAAATCTACCGTTTTTTTATAATTATAATTTTGGGATAAAATATTTTAATATTCACTGTCCACTTATAATAAATAGTAAATAATTTTTGTCAAAAAATATAAATACATATAAAATAAATATTTTTTTAAATATGATCTATTTCACACTCAAAATTAAGATTTGAATCTTAAATATCTTTTAGTTAAGAAAGACAAATTAGTATTACTTGTGTCAACTAATATTTATATCATTCTACTTGATATAAGAAAAAAATAGATGAAACAAAAATAAATAACAAATAAAATAATTTTTAAAGGAATTAAAAAATATATATATATATTATAAAATAAATTGATTTAAATGAAAAATAACGTATAATTAAGGATAACAAAAAAATTTCATGCTTGCAAATATTTACAAATAAAATATGCTATAGATAGTAAAATAAATAATTAAATGAGTAGCTATTTAATAATAAAGTATCTAAATTTGTATATTTTCGTGTTTAAAAATATTTTAAATTATATATAAAATAATTAGATTTTATTTTATTATAAATATATATGTCATGATTATTTATTTTTTAATATAAATGTATATATTTTAAAATTATTAATTTTAGTTTTATTTTTTTACTTTTTTATTTTAAATTTTACATATTAATAAATATTTATAAATACACATAGATATATGTGAATATATAGAAAATTCACAGATATCTACTAACTAGATACGTTTCGAGTGTCTCCTACTTATTTTTAATTGCAATGAACAATTTTTTTCTTTTAATTAATTTTTTGAAAGAATTAATCAAATACATTACTACTTTGTTGACATAAACCATTAGTAGCAGAAAAGAATAAACTAAAATACACATTTAAGTGATTAAATAAGGAAGTCAATGGATTAAACTATAATTATTTTAAAATAAGGTAGTCTAAAGAACATGAACATGTTAGAAAATGAAGTGCACAAACACACACCAACATGATTTAGTACATTATTTTCAAAGTTCAATCTATTAGGTACACATAAATTCAAATCAATTAAAAAAAGTCTAATTGATTAAGATAAAAATAACCACAACCTTGCTATTTAAATGATTTTGAGATGTTATTTAGTCTATTTAATTGATTATGATATTCTATTTGGACATAAACATGATCAAATCTCTAAAAAAAAAATAGTAATTTCTTCAACATATACAAAACTCTCAATACAAATAAAATACGAATACATATTACAAACATAAACATGCAACAAAGACAACAAAAATCATCATGAATCTATCATAAAACATGTCCATACAATCATTTACACTGTATGAAGAAAAGGAATAATCATTAACTAGTAAATAAACATAAGATATTTTTTTATATTTTTTATCAACTGCTTATTTATAAAACAACCATAATTTCGCTATTTCATTGTTTGTGAGATGTTATTTAATTGATTAACTCTATCTATTTATTTGATTATGATATGATATTTAATGGATTGAGACATGACTAAATATTTTAAAATTTGTATTTTTTTAACATATATTGAACTCTCAATACAAAATACTTATTACAAGCACAAATTTACAATAAACACAACAAACTAGCATGAATCTACCATAAAACACGTGCATGCAAGTTTATAAGCATAAAATGAATTATTTATTTATTTTTTTATACCAACAATCGAGCAAGTGATGTGGAATGAAGTAGATAAACTCAACAACTCCATGTAGACTAAAATAGATCAAATAACAAACAAAATGATAAAGAAAGAGGAACAAAAGAACTACAAATTTTAACACCCTGATTTGGGAATTTTTTAGTTAGGTTATTTGTATTAATATTATTTTACCCTTCAAAGAATGTGACTTTTATCGTATTGTTCACACAATTTTTAAAAAAAAGGCCCATTAACTTTTATCTTCTATTATTTCTTTATCAATTCTACTATTTAATCTACTAGTTTTATCTATTTAATTTATTGTAACATGCTATTTAATTGATACATAAATCACCAGATCTCTTAAAAACAATAACTTCTTCAACATATATGGAGCTTTTAACACAAATAGAGTATGAACACCAATTCCAAGCATAAATTTGCAATAAATACAACAAAACTGACATGTAATCCAAAACGCATGCATGCAAACATATGCATTGTATGGTTGAGAAGAATAACCATTAACTAGTAAATAAGCATAAGATGACTTTTTTATTTTTATTTTTCCAAAAATGAAGTAAATGGTAAAACAATACAACAACAAACAAAAGGACAAAGAAAGAGAAAAAGAGAACTGGACATGCATTTTGACATTTTGTGGTTCATGATTTTTTGATCAGGGTATTTTTGTCAATATCATTTTGTCCTTCAAGAATGTAATTTTTTATAGTATTTTTTTCAAGCTGTTCAATAAAAAAATAAACACGAGACCCATTAGTTTTATCTTATTCTTTATTCTTTGTTAGTTAAGCTCTATCTATTTAATTGATTATGTCATACTATTTAATCAGTTGAGAACTTGAAACACGACCAAATCTCCTAAAATCAACATGTTCTTTGAGATATATGGAGCTTTTAGCAAAGCTTTTAGCAAATAGAACATGAACATCCATCACAAACACAAAGTCACAATAACTACAAAATCAACATGAATCTAATATAAAACACATGCATGCAAGCATTTGCATGATTGAGAAGAATAACTATTGACTAGCAAATAAACATAAGATAACTTTCTTACAAATAGTGAAACAGATGGTGTAGAATGATGAAGACAAACTCAGCAACTTCAAGCAGGTTGAAACAACTAAAAAAAACAACAAAAGTAGGGAAAAAGAGAGAGAAAAAGATAGCTACGTATTATGAGATTCACGCATTTGTGGTCAAAATATTTTTGTCAATATCATTTTGTCCATTACATGATATGTAACTTTCACTGTATTTTATATGTTGTTCAATGAGGAAAATGGAAACACTCTGTCAACTAACTTTTATCAATTATTTTTCTTTTTTTTAGGTCAATTTTTTTTCTTCATAAAATGAATGTTACCAAACAAATAATAAAACCAACCAAAGAAGATTTTTTCTCTATATTCGAAGATGATACAAAAATACTTATATTTAGATATTCTGTATTTTAAAAAATTTCACAACACTTCTCATTTTTTAATTTTTATTTATTATACTATATTATTTATCATACCTTTACTTTTATTTTATTTTTCTATTTATTCTCAAATCATTTATATATATAAGAAAAATATCTTAAGCATCACAGTGTGTATACAATAGCAGTAATTAAATAAATTTCACACTGATATTTGAATATTCAGTCTTACAAAAATTAATAATTTTTTTTATTAAGAAAATATAACAATTAAATTAAAAAAAATAGTTGGTCTCACAAAAAACTTCCACTCATTGGAATCTGAATCATACTATGAAAATCAGCGTGTTTGGAAAACTTTTTTAACGAAAACATAAAAACATAAAATACAAAATAACTATTTCTATCTTTTTAATTTTAATAATAAAACAAACACACAATATCATCAAATTTGACAAACTGAGGTATTTGTTTTGTTTTTAACTATATTTCTCTCTCTCTCTCATTTCAAGGGACTCTTCTTTCTCTGTGTTCTACCCTGATAGGTGAACATATGTTAACATATTTTATTTAATTAAAATCGGTTCGGAGCCTTACACATTTCTCGGTGGATTTTGTCTTTCTAAGTCATTTTTCTTTCATATATACAATCCGATAATCAAATTTCAATCAACATATTTAAGATTTTTTTATTATCAATATTCTACAATTTTAAAAAATAATTTTTAATTAATAAAAAATTTATGTCAAGAAAAGTATGTTAATGAAGAGGCTGTGATGTGTCTCCAGACCAATATTGAACTGCGTGTGAGGTTGTTGGGAAACTAAACTTTGTTTGTATTGTAATAAATAAAAGAAAAGGTGTAGTGTAATAGATGAATTAAAACGAAAATATAACATCAATTAAAATTATGGATTTTATATAATTTGAAATTTGCAATTATAGAATTAAAAACTGAAAATCATAATTGTTGATCAAATAGTATTTAAAAAAAATAAACCTTAAAAAAATGTGTATGAATTATAGTACAGTAATATTTTGGTTTGATGAACGTGTATGAATAAATTTGTGAAAATTACTGAAATAACATATAATGTAGAAAGGAGTGTTAGTGATGCAACAACACTACACTCTTCTTAAAGCTTCATCCATCCAACACTGTTTGTTTATGCTTGGAACTACACCTTCACTTCCATATTCTGCTTCCACTTATTTAACATAAAACTTCTCATCATGCAAACCTAATCAGTTAGCTTAGAAAATATGCAAAGCTTCAACATAACCGAATCAGAATCAACCTCACCCCTCTATTCCCATTCTTCCTTCTTTCACCGGTAAATCACACACTACTATCTTTTTTCTCTCTGCCTGTACCCTTCTTTCTACTTATTACTTTCATTTTCCACTTTTCTGAAAAATGGGTAACGGAAGCAGGCACAAGCATTCATATGCAGCAAGAGATGCATGTTTTTTTTTTTTTTTTTTTTTTTTTTTTTTTTTTTTTAGCTGTGTAAAACAGAGTTTCCCTGTTTTTCTTTGGTCTGAAACAGGGGAAATGACACGAGCCGAAATCCCACGCGTTTCGCGGATCTTCAACATTGTTTTCGACAACACGATGCTGTTGATTTAAGCTCAAGTTAATAGTCTATTTCTTTCTGTCTTCATAAATAGTATAGTATAATATAACGGCTCCTTCTCGGGTAATAATTTCAATATTCAAATATTATCCTATGCAGGTTCTGTGTTTGGTGCAAAGTCGAGCAATGTGGCTGTTGTTGCAAGCAACTTGCAGCGTGGGACATTCAACACGGTACTAGTTCTATCTATTTCCCTTTTTAGGAAGATAAGTTTTGTGCACGCGTGCCTTATCTGTGTTGGTTTCGAATCAAATGCAATGTGTGTGTAGAACCTTGGTTGTGCGGAATTTGCTTCAGCAGTTGCAGGGTGCATTGAGGCAGAGAAGCAACCCATGTTCCAGAGAGGAGGCACTAACGCCACCATGCCACTGGGGGACCAGCACGTTGAGAATTGGGCAGATGATAGCCAACACACTGAAGATACTTGCACTGATATTGATAATGATGATAAGAACCAAGTGGGTCTCTCTGACTCTCTATTGAATTCCTGGCATAGTGTTATGTAATTGTATTATAAAGACAATAATACACTATAGTTCCTCGTCTTGGTTTCGGTTTAATTTGTAAGTTTACAAATTTTCATTCTAGTCTCTTCAAAAACGTTTTTTTTTAAGCTAACGTTATTGGTGCTGAATATCTCCGGGTGGTTTTGTCATTGACTAATATTTGCAAGACAACCTGACTAATTATCTTTAGTGAACTCTCTCTTCTCATATGCGTTTTTTCAATCCATAATACTTAAATACGAGACTTTCCTTAAGAAGATGGAGTCCATGTTTGAGAATACCGAGTTGAGATCCACTCAGACTAACTTTTTGTTTGTTCAAAAGTGTTTCTTTTAGGTCAAATTGTTTTTCTTAAGTTTACCACACCAAATCTTGGTGACACGTGACATGCTGAGCAATGTCACATTAGATGGCCAAAATAAAATAAGCATCGTTAGTGAAATAATTTTTTTTTGAAGGATTTATAGTGTATTTTAGCCTATTAATATAAATTTCTGGGTTTTGGATAGTGATGATGTGAATAACGGGTTTTAATGTGCTTTTACAGTGTTACTCTACTGTGTCTTGGGGCAATGGAGTTGGGGATGGGGCACTAGTAGTTGTGGACTCGCAGGATCAATGTAAGACTAAGGCTAAAGCTGAAGACCAGAAGGTTGCTTGCCACTTGCTTCAAAGCCTTGTGCTGTTTAATTTCTATTTCATTGCTGATAGCTTTATTTTTGTGGATGCCTTCTTTTTAGACTATACGTAGGCTAGCTCAGAATCGGGAGGCTGCAAGGAAGAGTCGGTTGAGGAAAAAGGTAATTGCTCATACGAGAAATTTGATTCTAATTATTTTCTTCTCCTTTAAGAGCTTAGTCAAAACTTTTTCTCAATTAGGTCTTAGTTAAGGTCGACACTTATGACTCTTGTCTTATCATGCTAGTTAATTTCAATGTTGAAAGTTGATTTTTGTTTCTGCCTATATATGTCACAATCACTCTTAGTGAATGTTCATTTTTCAGACAAGTCTTAGCGTTATGTTAGTAGAATATATTTGAATCATTTATGTGGTATGGATTTAAACAGGCATATGTGCAACAATTGGAGAACAGTCGAGTTAGGCTTGCTCAATTAGAGCAAGAACTTCAACGTGCACGTCAACAGGTGTAAGAATTTGAAGGTTCACAGAAGATAATTTTCGTTGAATTTAATATTGTTATTATTCTACTCACTATTTTTTATGGGTTACTTTATCTAGGGCGTATCTATTGCAACTGGAATCACGGGGGATCGTGGTCATTCAGTTGTTGGAAATGGTAAATAAAAAGATTATTATTTCATTCATATAGTGGCAGAAACATGATGGTTTTCATTCACAAACTATGGTACTTTTCATGTTATGGCATAACTTTATGACTGTAAGTTCATCCATTTTTGTTGAAAGTATCAAACTATCAAAATAGATGAACATTGGTGTATAACTTTTTCATATATGAACATCTCTGCTCGCAGAGTCTCTCTGGTAATTCCCTATATACATGTATGCATAGTATGCACGTGTGTGTAATTTTTGTGTATTAAAGAATGATGTTGAGGATTGATCATTGCCTAAATCCAAAATTATGAATGCTTCTGTTATTAAAAAGGGGATGCTAGGGAAAGTTATGTATTGTTACTATCTTGTAATCTTGTACCGTATGCTAGGGATGTTCACTTGTGCTTTTCAACTTGAGGAAGATCTTATTGATGTCCTCTAAGGGTCTGAACAAAATTGTTATGTTGTGTGTGCTTTTGGTACCGGAGAGATCAATGGGAACTGTTTGGTCAGTAGCAGATATGTAAATGAGTGGTTGAGGTAAGTTTAATGAACGAGTAATTACATGATGGTTAGTTGGATGCGTTAGTTAGGTGGGACAGAAATACTTGCAGCCTATGATGCACGGATGCTTCAAAATTGGCAATGTATCTGTGTTGTGCCTCTAGTCCTGTACTAGATATTCAATATGCGTATTATTCTTCTGCCTCATCAAAACTTGTTTGCGTTATCTTTAAATCTCTTAATATACATTTTTCTTTATATGGTAAAGGGTTATGCTTGCTTAATAAAATTTTCAAGTGGTTAACCAAATATAATATGAAGATGTTGCATGGTAAACCAATATAAGCATCAGCTCAGCTATATTAAAAATAGAAAAATATAGATAAATAATTTATTAAATAAAAAAGAAAATGGGTATTGTACTTAATACTTGTGCCTGTATGCAACATAGCTTTTGCACTTGACATGGCAGGATATTGGGGCTACCTTTTCAATGCTGAAAGTGATAAAAAAAAATCATTTTGCTAAATTTATTTGAGCTCAAGTTTCATGCTGAGAATGCTCAAGTGTGTTGAGATTTAAATATTTTTTGTAATATAGGAGGGAATGTGAATATGTGATTTGTAATGATCTATTTTTATCCTTCAGGTGCTTTAGCATTTGATATGGACTATTCCCGTTGGGTTGATGAGCATCAACGGTTGATCAATGACATAAGATCAGCTATAAACTCTCAAATGGGTGATAATGAACTGCATCTTCTTGTTGATGGAGTCATGGCACATTATGATGAATTATTTAGGATAAAGAGCATAGGAGCAAAGGCTGATGTATTTCACATACTGTCTGGGATGTGGAAGACACCTGCAGAAAGATGCTTCATATGGCTGGGTGGATTTCGTTCATCTGAACTTCTCAAGGTGATTGACCATTTTTGTTACTCACATTTAGAGAAATTATTGGATGGTTCTGGATCACATAATGTCTAACTATTCTATACATGACATGTAATGAGGAGTTATTAATTTTTTCTCGTAAATTTAAAAACTTAGATGTATATCATGTAGAGATTGGTCGAGATTATAAACACTTGGTAGATAAGGAAGACTACTTAATAATTTCTCAGTAGGATAGAGTGTATGTAGATTATTTTGTTGATGAATCTTGTGTGAACATTTCTTTGGAGATTCAGATAGTTAGAAACCAGCTTGAGCCGTTAACCGAACAGCAGTTGATGGGCATATATAATCTGCAGCAGTCTTCCCAGCAGGCTGAGGATGCATTATCACAAGGCATGGAAGCGTTGCAGCAGTCTCTTTCAGAGACACTCTCCTCATCCTCCCTAGGGCCCTCAGGTTCTGGAAATGTTGCCGAGTACATGGGCCAAATGGCTATTGCATTGGGCAAGCTTGCCACCCTTGAGAGTTTCCTTCATCAGGTAAACACAACCAATCTTGTTCGCTGATTCTAATATTTAGTACTCGATTGTAACATTTTTCATTTCTATTTTCAATTTTTCACTTGTATGGGAAAAATGTAAGTTTCATATCAGATAGAGATAAGGTCAAGACGGACCTTACAAGTTGATTTTACATAGCAGAATTATGTCTAAATCTATATATCGGCTAGAGAGAAGACCAAAATAGAGGGTATCTCAATGGTTGAGATTCTAATAACTTATTGCATCGTATTTAATTCTTTTCTTATTTCATAGATTTATATAGGAAGCAATGAAAACTATTATCATGAAAGGTTAGATAGAACATTTTATCAAAAGTAGGTCCTTAAAGCATTACTAATTTTCACTATCTACCTTACAAAATTTGTATGCGGTTTATTCTGAGTATGTGTTGTTTTTCTTAGGCTGACCTCTTGAGGCAACAAACACTGCAACAGATGCGTCGAATTTTGACCACGTTCCAAGCTGCTCGTGCTCTACTTGTCATAAATGATTACGTTTCACGTCTTAGAGCTCTTAATTCATTATGGTTAGCGTGCCCTAGAGAGTACTAGGTGCTACACTGAGTCTGAGAGCAATCCTTGTTTCCTGCGATCTAATCTTTGAAGATTGGTAATTACTGCATCTTGATACGTACAAGTTTTTACAGCTGAGAAATCTTGTATATTATTGACATATTTAAGCGGTTTTACTGCCAGTGTTATTACGCGTAGAAGTAGAAGTACGTAGGCGTTGATGTTAATTATTGTCACCTTTCCACTGACGCTACCAGACAATATCACTGCAAATAACTTTATGAAGCATGACTTTATTGATTGATGTAATTCCTTCTCTTATCCATTCATATATGGTATAAGGTAGTCCTAAATTTAAATTTCAAAACTATCATGAAGTATTTTTTTTATATTTTTTCATCAGAAAACTTCATTTAAGGGCGTGTCTGAATATTTAACCACATACATTTTTATGCACTCAAACAGAAAACAGAAAAACATGAGTGTGGATGGATTGAGTTGAACGTAGGTTTGGCTTTTCTAAATGATAAAACAAACATGCACTAACAAGTATCTCAAATTCCTTTATGTTCTCCCCTGTAAATACAGTACGATCTGTACATATATCAATTAAGTAGAACACAGTCATCGTGAATGGAAAGGGAAACTTCGTACACACTTTTCTTCCTTTTTATCTTGTGCAATTTCTCCTCTAATGAATCATCACTATTGTAACCTATGCTATATATTTATGAGCAAGCGGCGATATTCAATTTTCATTAAATACAAATTTCGGCAAGCATGAATTCTTCAATCCTTATTTACCACTGGTCTATAGATTTTTCTGCGGCTATTATTCATTCTTCCTGCCAAGAATCAAAATTATAACACAGGTAAAATATTCAATTTTCTTAAAGCAGTTTCATCATATTTTATTTAGTGAGGTAGATAACAAAACAGTACCTGATCTTTGATCTTTCCTGCATGCCACTTGAGGAATGAACACCCCAGTACCTTTACCATTCTTCCACAAGTTCACTAGCCAAAGGGGTGGTGAACCAGAACTGTGTCTTTCCCACAAACAGAAATTACTTGCTGGTGGAGATGCACTGTTGAAGCTGTAAACTGATCTGTTTGAACCACCATAAGGGACATTAATTGGGTTGAAACTTCTTGTTTCAAGTATATCATCGTTGTCTTCAGTTGTTAATTGTAGAATCTGCCTCCTAATCTCAGCATAGAAAGTATCTTCTTCATATTCTGCCTCAGACAGAACACTAGCACCTGAATTCATCTCCATAACCAAATTCAGGAAATTAACTTCAATCTTTAGGCTTATGTTGCTATAAGGAAATTATGACTTGAAAATAAATGGGTATCGAGGTTTATGTATAGATGGATGAGTAAGAGAGAAAAGAGATCACTTTGTGGTCAGTGTTGTGAAAGTAGGAGTGTGCAAATCTCATCTTCCAATAGTGTCCAAGTTGGAAGAATATGTCCATTTCGTACGTTAGCAAATGTCCTCTACTTTAAATTTTATGTTGTAATAATTAAATCAATGATCGAAATCAAATGGATCAGAAGAAATTTGGCGGTTACTTTCGAATGACATTAATGGTCATTATTCATCACCAAAACATCGACATCAGGCATGCTTATGGTTTGGGTTATCTTACCATTAGAATTTTAAAATATCAATTTATGCGTCGTAGTTTTCATAACCTCCACTTGTTTGTGTTTGAAGCATTGTGAGACGTTAGTGAAGAGTATCTTATTGGTGTTGGATCGCTTCTTATAACTAACGTTAAAAAGGTCAATCTTATTATATGCTACTATTTGGATTGCTGAAACTCTGATCACGCTATTAAAAAAATAAAGAATTTTGCTCCATTTTGTCATGCTCTTTCATGGATTACTATTGATACTGTATTCAAACTTGGAGAATGTATATGTAATTGATAGCAAATTGTTGTGTTTGAACGAGAGATTTTACAAATGTAAGAAATTTAAAATTCTTCATATTTAAATTATTTTAATTTCAATTTTTATCATTCTAAAAATATTTTGTTTGAATAAGTTAATTTTAAATTTTAAAAATATATTAATAATTTTAAAAATTAATATTAAATAATATTTAATAATTTTAAAAATATTTTTGAATATTCAATAATTAAAAGAATGAAGAGATAAGATAAAATATATAAGTGAAATAAGAGAAATAAATATGAGAAATTTCAAATTCTTATTTTTTTGGGGAGAAAAGAAATTTCACAAATGTTTGAATTTTAAATTCTTTGTAAATTCTCTATCCAAACAAAATATTTCACCTCAAAAAAATTAAAAAATTTTAAATAAATAAATTACCCTATTTAAATTTTTTATCCAAACACACTCTTAGGATTAATCATTTAAAAATTCACACTATGAATATTAAATAACATTCCTCTCACCTATTAATTTACCCTATTTTTGGGAGGGATACGAGATCTTGTTATAAATTATAACAAAAACGTCATTATCATAAAGGTTCATGATATATACACCTCCTTTTTTCTATAATTACACCTCCTTTTAGTATTTTTTTTCACACATCTTTCCTCCTTTTTTCAATTTTTACATGCACCTCCTTATTTTTCCTCCACCACACCTATTTTGGTAACATGTGAAAATTGAAAGAAAAAAAAATGTGTGAATAAGAAGAAGAAAGTAGCAAATTGAAAGTTGAGAGTGTAAAATTATTTTTTTTAAAAAAAAATTATAATATTTTATGATTTTTTTTTAAAAAAAGAAGTGTATATATCATGAGCCTATCATAAATTTGAATACTTTTATTTTTTTTATTTCTCTATTATCATATAAAAAAAAGATTGGATAATAAAAAGGTGGATTGGGAATTTGGGAGGTGGGATGGGGCCCACGAAAATCTATTAATATTGGAGATTCCATAGGCCACCCACCACAGACAGCTGTTGGCTGAAGATTCTAATGGACAATTTCCTTAGTGGGCCATCACAGAGTGATTTTATTGTTGGGCTTTGGGTACTATCAATACCTAAAAAAACGAAGAAACAGAGGCAAAGAGATTGTCTTTCACGATCCATCAATTCAAGCCTAACTGCCTAAGGCTTCGTTTCGGGTATTTAAGGGAGATCGGAGCAGAGTGACATGACATAGAATGGATTGAAATAGCTTATGAGATAAATATGTCATTGTCTTATTTAATTTTTTTATGACGGAATAAAATAAAATAAAAATCATTTTGTTATTTGATACGTGAGGGAATGGAAAGTATTGTGATTTTATTATTTTTATCTTATACTAATCCAAACATTTCAAGAATATAACATCATTATAAAAACAATCAAATTCTTAAATAAACTAAATTGTATAATGATGAAATCATTTGCTTAGTCAAATGAGACATTCAGTGTTCTCATCATTTGTAAATCCAGAAAACAAATGGGAACCACAAAAGGGAATTAATAATGTGAATTCATTCATCATTTTTAATATATTTCATTGGGACATCTTTTTTATTATCCAATTTTGTAGTATTGACATTTTTTAAGTATTGAAAGCATACACTTTTTCCCACTTACTTTGATTGTTTATCTTACATCTCTTGTGCATGAGGCTTCAAGTAACAACCATACTCATAATTTATTATTTTTTCCCTTTTCTATATATATATATATATATATATATATATATATATATATTTTTTTTTTTGTTTTTTATATATATATTTTTTTTTTTGCATCTTATTTGTTCAAATTCATTAATGGAGTTGTGGTATGTATGCGAAAGATGGAATTGTTTTGAAACTTGGAAAAAATGGTGGGTGCAAACTGCAAAGCATTCACAAAAAATAATGACATGATGAATTGTTTTGATTTAAAAGAAAAATAGCAATTTGTGAAGAATTAATTACGCTAGTGCAGAGTAAGTAGAATTTGTTTTTTGTTTTTGGTGAACTGCATCTCAAAAGAGACTAAAAGCGTTCAGGGAAAGAGATTTGAGCTGGATCAGCTCTTAAAGTAGAAAGGATACGGGTAAAACATAATATTCAGCTCTTTGTATTCAACAACAAAGTTTCCTTCCATCCCTAACTTGGTTTACTTCTCTAAATATATGATTCCACGTAATGCTCCCCGCATGAGAATGGATCTCATGACAAATGTGTTAAAAAAACACAAGTTTAGAAATAACAAATGAATGAAATTTAAATAAAAAAGATAAAAATATAATTAGATAAAGTGTATCATAATATTAATTAATTGATACTTTGTGAGTTAAGTTGTTAGAATTACACATTAGTAGTAATCACCTCTCTAATAAACTCTATGAATAGAGCTCTTAAACTTCTTATTTTGTATCTTTTATCAATCAATTACATAATGTATAATATATTTATATGGTACTTTTCTTCTTTATTTTGAACTTAATCATGTATGACCATATTTTGTTGATATTACTTGCATTTTCATCATCTCATGTTACCTCATATTTAGGATGAAAGATAAAAGATTTAAATATGTTATTATTCTATTAAATATGAGATAAATTCATTTTTACTTAAATTTAAAATTCAATTTTTTTAGTCTCTACATATTTTAATGTCTCCACTCAAATATTGCTAGTAAATTTGTAAAAAAAAAAACTCACTTATTACTAAATTTGTTGCATAAAATATATCAATTAATGTATTTATTAGTGAAAATAACATATTAAACTTACATAATGTTAGAAAATTGACTTAAACTATTATTATTAGTGATGTTACTAATAGTCTTTAGAGATTAAGATAATATTTATTGTTCAAACTAACTAAAAAGATTAAATTAAAATTTAAGACAGTAAAAATGAATTTATCTTAAATTTAAGAAACTAAAAACTTATTTTAAAAAATAATTAATAAGTTGGGCAAAAGGAGAATATATGGGGCAAATGGAGAATGCTCTTAGGCCTAGTAACTTTCAGAAATCATTCCCTATTCCTTTGATCTACATCTGTTCACAAAAATAACCTAAACAAGTACTACCTTTGTATCCGTATCTTTTCTTATCTATTTTGCAATTCCCCCAATTGCAGTTGAGAATAGTTAAAGATCAGAAAATGCAGCACCAACAAATTGCCTGGGACATTTATCAGTTCTCTTGCTCTTCTCCTCCCCACCTCGGAAAAGTAAAAAAGAAGAGAAATGTCTTTTAAAAGAATTTTAATTTAGAAACTCTTTAGAATCTGTTAAAAAAAATCGTTGAGAACTAAATATGTTTTGAGTTCTCTGAGTTGTGCAACAGTGAGAAAATTGATTATAGGTTAAAACTGAGATAGTTTACTATAGATTTGAGAGTATCTAGGAACAGAACATTTGAATCTGTTTTTTTTAGGATTTTTTGTCCTTATTGCTTGGTCAGAATAGATATTACCTAAGGAATTAAGAATACTAATTTGAGCAAACGATTTCTGATCTATGATTAAAGGTTTAGTTGACTAAATTTTTTTTATAAACACTTCAAGAGAATAAAAAAAATATGACCTTTAAATACATTCTCTTCTCTATAATTAACTGTTACTCCTTCCCGTTCTTAATATTTACAACAACAAAAATAATATTGTGAAGTAATTGGTCGCGGCAATACCAAATTTCAACCTTCCTTGCATTTAAATAATGTTCTATATGTTTGAAGCTCTCCAAAACATTGTTTTTTTTGTTTGTACAAAATTCATACAATTTAAGGCGCGTGATAACATTTTTTTAACTCGCGTTGTGTTTTTAAAGATATTGCCACGAGAAAGACAATTACAGTTGCAAAGGAGCAAGTGAGTTTTGTTATTTGCAACATATGGAGAATAGAAGTGTTGACTTCCTTGCATTCAGCATGTACAAAATCGAGATACTCATAATTCTTGTTAACAATCAATTTTATTATTTAAATCGTTGACAAATCACAAAGCGCATTACATTATGAAGTATACATGCCATGACTCTTGCGTCTTCCTCGTTTGTTTTAGTCCTTCAAAATTGGATTTTCATTTTCAAATTTTTGTGCTCTTGCACTTTTGGCCATTATTAAAGTTTCCCCCGCAAGTCATTCCACATTAGGAAATTAAAACTGGTCCTTCAATTTCAACTCTAAAATTAATGGAATTATTCCGTTCTTGAAAAAAAAAAAAAAAAGCCAAAGAAGATGCATGCATGTAACTCAAAAGCCAAGCATGGTTCATAATCAAGATAAAGGGAAAAAGACAAGCAATAAGCTCTGACTTTATTCAAATCCCAAAGATATTGGGGTTCATTGAGGAGCATGTTCAATGGACATCCTCAAAACCGGTGCTCCATACTTGGATGTTTTGTGACCCATAAAACCACAAACTATATATCTTCAATTATCACCATTCTCTATGAAATATCTAGCTAGAATGCTTTAATTCAATTTCCAAGTGTGTAAATGTCTCCAACAGTGTTCCTGAAATGATGCTAATGGGAGGCAACCTAAAGTATGTTTGCACGCCACTACACTCACTTCTTTCTTTTAAATGTCAACAATGTCATGCTATAGTTACATGAACATACATAAAGTACAGTGAGAATGAAATGAACCTTATGTCCTACAACTTAAAAAACACAAAAAGTCAATTCGTCTATGATTATGCTCAAACATCAGTGCTAGAGACCTACGCGTAATCCTGTTCAATTTGCGGCTGATTAATTGGGTAATTTAACAGTAAGGTATGCACTAGTCTTATTTGGTTCAATGTTTGTTGGCCTATTGCAAATTGTGAGTTATAATCGGTTGAATTCTTAAAACGAAATTTAAATTGATAAAAACATGTTTTTTTTTTCCTTCAAATTTCTTATAATTTTTGTTGACTTAAACATGAATCGAATCATAATCTGATGAAACTAAAAAATTACATTTATTTTAAGGAGAATTCATGTTAAAAATTTAAAGGGAGACCCTACATTATATCAAGTGGATTGGTCTATTTGCAACCTCTGACATGCCCCAGCCATAGCCATTTTCCTAAAACCTGTTGACAATTTCGAAGGACGCTGTCCTTTTTAGGTTGATGCTTCCCAAATAGGCAACGAAAGCGATTACTTATCAAAATTGGAGGCACAATTGTTTTTTGAGATGACTCTCCACATGTGAACTCACGTGGAGCCGTGTGTCAATTTTACAACTTCCCACGTGGCATGAAAAGATTGATTCATCCTTTTCCCCGCTCCTTACAATGCTTTTTGACTTTCTCCACTCGCTTCCCGTGTATATAAGGAAACCACAATGCTACAAACCCTCTCACTCGCTCAATTCATTGGTTTCTTGTTTGAGCCTCCTCTTATTACATGACAAGAAAAATAATGGCTACTCTTACCTCAAATCTAAGCCTTAGCCCACAATACACTGTCCCCAAAGACTATCCACCCCATGGTTCTATAGTTGAGGAAATACAAGGTCTTATTAGAGTACACAAAGATGGATACGTGGAACGACCTCAAGTTGTTCCATGTGTCACTGCTAGTGCTTTGAGTCCTGACCTAAATAATGTGACATCTAGAGACATGGTCATAGACAGTGTCACAAACACATGGGCACGTTTTTATGTTCCAACTAGCCAACACAAGTTACCATTGCTAGTTTATTTTCACGGTGGAGGCTTTTGTGTTGGTTCTGCAGCTTGGAGTTGCTACCACGATTTCCTTGCAAGGCTATCATCGAAAGTGGGGTGTGTGATCATGTCAGTGGACTATCGATTGGCCCCAGAGAACCCTCTCCCAGCACCCTATGATGATGGACTAAAGGCCCTAATGTGGGTGAAACAACAAGTGCTGCATCAGCAACAGAATAGTGAATGGTGGAGCACAAAGTGCAACTTTTCTAGTGTCTTCTTAGCGGGGGACAGTGCGGGTGCTAACATAGCATACAACGTGGCCACGAGGATATCTGCATGTGATGATGGTGCTGCTTTGAGGCCTTTGAATTTGAAGGGTCTTATTTTGATACAACCCTTTTTCGGTGGGGAAGTGAGGACACGTTCCGAGAAGTGCATGGCTCAACCCAAAGGTTCTGCTTTGAACATGGAAGCGTCTGATACCTATTGGCGCTTGGCGTTACCTTATGGTGAGAACCGTGACCATCCTTGGTGCAACCCTTTGGTGAAATTGGAGGACTTGAAGGTGTTGCGTACGTTGGTGTGCATCTCGGAGATGGACATATTGAGGGATAGGAATTTGGAGTTTTGTGAGGCTTTGATGAGGGCAGGGAAAAGGGTTGAGTATGGGGTGTTCGGTGGTGTTGGACATGCATTTCAGATTCTAAGTAAGTCTCAGCTCTCTAAGAGTAGGACCAAGGAAATGATGGCTCGTGTTAAGTCCTTCATGGGTGTCTGATTCTCTGCGTTACTGTTGCTGCTTCATGACTATCTCTGTAAATAAAATTAACTGTTGCTGAAAAGTAAACTGGCTATTGTAAATTGTTAAATCTTCATCAAGGAATCGAGAAGATCGTGTTAATATAATGGAAAAAACTTCTTTGAGGTATTTAAGTCTGAATAAATGCATGAGTGAGATTGTGTATACAATTGTTGTGAATTTAACTCGCTTTAAAGTGGATACACACTCGTTTTTGCAGAGGCCTTCTTATCACTTTTTGTGGAGAACAACATTTTTCAAAAAGTTTAATAACAAAGAAATGGAAAGAATCCTGCTTGGAATGCATGCAACCAGAAGAATGAAACAACACTAAAAGTTAAAACACATATAGACAGCACCCATTGTTAAATACGGAACTATGCCAATTTCCGAGCAACAAATAAGCACATAAATCATCCAGATTTTTATTAATTTAGCAATTTTAGCTTTAGGCATTTTTTCATGTTTAAATTTGAAGTGTTGTAAAATTTATTTGCTTTTAGTCTCATTCTATTAAATTTGTCGCTGATTGAGTAACTTTACCGAGAGTTTATTCACCAACTAAACGAGAACAAATCCTTTCACGTACTAGATAGGTTATATTAAAATTGTGATTGTTTTTTCTTATAAACATAATTAAATAAACCTTACCTAGTTAAAATTTATCGGGATATAAACACAACATTTTATATAAAGTTATCTTATCATATTTGACAGGAGATTCATTCCCCTTATCCATCCCAATCTAAAACTTGCTAGTAATTTAGAATGACATATTCCATTCAAGAATGCTTTCCAAGTAGGCAGTGAAAGCGATGAATTCTCAAAAATAGAGGTCCATTTGAAAATTTAGAGAGCTCTCCGCATGTGAATCCACGTGAAGATGTAGCAACTTTCGCACTCACTTGACTAAGACTCACTTCAGAAAAGCCTTGTCGATATAATAATTTTTTTTATGAAAAATTATAATTTAGTGATTTAACTAAATGCTTGAATTGACGATTGATTTTAAGTTGAAAGTGAGTTATATAAGTCGAAAGAATTTTATCTAGTGAGATTTAATGCACGCCAGTTCCCTGATTTAACTCATAATGCGAGAGAAGGCTCGACCAATTGTGGCACTTGGATGTTTGAAATATGAAATTGTCTAGGAGGACACTAGGACAAGAAACAAAAATAGAATATATGAAGAATACAATCAAGAAAAAACACATGGAAATTAGCATATAATAGAAACTAAATCACGTCAATTGTCAATGAGTAGTTACTCACAAATTAATAAGCCTTCAAGCTATAACTGAAAAACACTAAACACAACTATGCAGCACTATATATGATAGTCGGAAATATTAGCATCTCTTCTGAAGTCTTCCACCTAAATACGTATCGATCCATTCCTGCCTAGCTAGACATCATGACATGATCAATTGCCTGGAGTGCTTGGTTGGAAAAAAATCGCACATCAACATCAGGATCCTCGCTCAGCTCAACCAAACATGGACGAATAGTCTTCTCCACCACCTGAATGGCAATGATGTTCACAGTAAGAGTCGACGACAAACAATGATGAACAGAGTTAGTGTATGGAGAACACTAGTATGATACTTACAGACTGATCAACGATGGGGAAGATGGACTCCAATACCTTTGCCACATTGAACTTTATGTTGGGCACTCTGTAAGAGAGAACATGGCAGCAATTACGAACTTAAACAATCTTATTGATACGTCCCCCATGGAATATGTCCATCTTTCAAAAGGTAAAACAATACCTGTCTTTTGATGCACCAACAACAACTGGTAACAAGTTCGAACAAGTGATTTCAGAGCCCATTACGGGAGCAAGTAGAGAGATAGCACGAAGAATAGTCATCCGATACAAATAGTGTGAATTGCTGCTCATCTCCAAAACCTGCTTGTTCCACACATATTCCAGAGTGATAATTCTGAAGTTGCATTTAGGAGAATAGAAAAATAACTATAGAAAGCAAATATTTCAATGAAAACCATCTTCCGACCCTGTATAGGTAGGGCCTAACAAGCCCAGAAGATAATATTACAGTGAAAATATGAAAAGGGCTTAATAGATGCCAAAATCAGGAGACAATGGTTTAACGGGGAAAAAACAAAACACCAACACAACTCTACGCATTGTTGAACTCAACTTCAATATATCTGGTATAATATCACATTAAAAGGTGATGATCATCTATGGAGGTTCTTGAATCTGGGATGGATCAAACTCAATTCCGAAAGTGGTTTCCGAAGTAAGGATTATCCAAGCCTTTATAAAGTTCTATTTTAGCCATATTTATAGTCAATGTAGGATCTAAACACACCCATCACACTCAAGATTAGACATATGAAGCATGGAGATTTTAGGACTGAATTTTATTTTTTTTAGGACTGAATTTCTAAACACACCCAAAACCTAGCTGAAGTGAGGATTACCCATGCCTTTATAAGCTCTACTTTAGTCATATATATATAATTAATGTGGGAACATAAAAACACACAAATCTAAGCATTGTTGAGCTGAGCTTCGCTATATCTGAACTAAATATCAGACTCCAAGGTCATCTGTAGAGGCCAAATAAACATATAATGGGAGATGAAATCTGTGCAGGCTAATTTTAGCAACAGCCCGAAGGTGAATTTGTGACGTTCATGACTGATGACCATTTTGTACTTCATCAGGACAACAGATGATTCCATTATTTCAGTATTTAGGAATAGGAGCTAGTGTAAACTGAAATAAACCAAGAGGAATGGAGGCTTCTTAGATCTCAATCTAGACACATGCAAATAGTGGAAAATTTTCATCCTGTCCCCAACTCCACTTCCAATAATGGCTCATGAGCAAGCTCTTTCTTTCAGCATTCCAATTGAAGACAAGCAGGTTCATCCATTCATCTAATGATATTGTTACAGTATTTTCTATAATGTCATTATGAAAGCAAATGTAATGTATCCAAATCAAATTATGAAGAAAGGCATAGAAGTCAATTTCCACAAGATAAAGACATGCAAAAAAACACAGACGAATTAATATTGACATTTGTTGGTGTATCATTTCATCAATAATAAATTAAGCAAATAGATGAACCTGAGGAATTATGTGCTGCATAGCCCACTCAGGTCCAAATTCTTCAGCAAGTCGTTTCAAATTGTTAGCAGCTGCTTCACGAATAGAATGAACCTACAATACTGAGGTGGTTAACAAAAATAATCATGTGCAATATGCAGTTCCCAAAATGTACCCACACTAGCAAGGAAGTGGAAAGCACAAACCTTATCCTGTAACCACTGCATGCAAAGAGCACCAAGCTTGTCATCAAAAAACCCAACCCCCAATTGACTTGCCAATAAGGGTATATATTCTATAATTGCAAGCCGGACCCTCCAATGCCTATCCTCAGCAAGCTCAACAATGGCTGGTAACAAAGACTGAGATAACAAATCGATTCCTATAACCTGCAAGAATAGATCAATTAAAATGTCTTTCGAAAGTTCTCTTTTGCTTTATATTTTGTGAGTATGTGGACATAAGGATTAAATAGAAGTATCAGTTCTCGAGAATTAATCATATCAGCAATGGAAAAGAAATCTAAAGCATTCTAAAAAATAAAATTACTAAAGAAACTATGTCAACCTGATTCACTTGATCAAGCTTGCTGATAATGTTTAGACGCACATCAGGAAATTCATCCTTCAAAAGGGAAAGGAAAATAGGAAGAAGCTGCTCAATTGTTGCTTCCTGCAATGAAAATAAGGTAGAACTGAGATTCATATTTACACCAAAAAAAAAACTACTACTATCGCAATTAGCCCAGAAAATAGATTGTGTAATATCTTATATTGGATAATGGAGACATGAAGGACAATACAAATTTCTTGAAAACAACAGAGAGAGAGGGGAGAGGCTAAAAACTGGTGATACAAGATTAGTTGCAAAAATTAAATTATCACAATCTAGTAAATTCAATATAAGTATTCATACCAGCAAAAGGAAAATGTCAGTTACCATTACCACAAAGCAACTGCACAAGCAGTCATTCATATAAAATAGGTTAAATTAATTTGTTAGTTCCTGAACTATTTGGAAATTTTTAATTAAGTCTCTATACTTTATAAGTTTGTAATTAAGTCTTATAAATCATTTTTCATTGGGTCCTGACTAGGGTTCAAGCACAGGAGCCTATTTGAAAATTTTTAAATAATTCAAGGACCCACTAAAAAATTAAACTACAAGCTTTACCTGATTCCTAAATTGTTTGAAACTTCTCAAATAGGTCCTTATACTTTGAACAGAACCCTAACATGCAAATTTGGTAGTAAGGCTCTTTCCTTAAATGCAGGACCAGAGGACAGGGGATGGTGAGGATTGTAAAGGTGAATCATTAATTACTGTACAAGTAAATTAACGTGCAGCATGACAATGTCCATCCCACATGCAAAGGACATATTTAATAGCCTACAACCACAAGCAGTGTTATTTGTGGAAGCGGTTAAACATAATCTAGTACTCTAGTCTATGACCCAAAAACACCAAATGATGTCCTGAACTCAATTTTAGGTTGCTTTATGCACAAAATGCATTTGGATTAGCTTACCCTGAAGAAATAATTACCTTTCTTTTTCTTTTTGAAGCTTTCTAATTGAACTTTTGAAGGGGAAAAAAAAAAAAAAAAGAGCGGTACAGGGGTGGAGGATTATTTTCTGGGAAATAAGCTTTTCCTCAAACATGCCATAAAAGACAATACTAAATCATTTGAAGGGCCCGGAGCCACAAACAACAGATTTCACCTTCATAATATGGGTAATGCATATTCCTGTCTAGAGCACAATAACTGCAGAAACTGATATTTGATACTTGTACCTTTCCTAACACTGGAGCCATTCCCATTATTACTGAAGCCAAAGCAGAGCGGACATGCTGTGAAGAATCTGATGACAATTCCTGCAAAAATTGTTCCAAAGAATTTAAACCTGTAAATATAAATTTAGCATACTGAACTGCCCAACCAAAAGCAAGAAAAGCCTCTATATATAAACAGTAATATTAACATGAGTTAGAATTTCTTTTCCAATTATGATACCTTCACACAAGGAAGAATATGCTGAATTGCAAGATCAGGATTTAAAATCCGGCAAAACTTGGTCACTTTTCCAGCAGCTGCTATGCGTACTTCAGCCTCGTTATCTCGAAGTAATCGCACATAAGCAGGTACCAATTCCGTTCTAAACAAACAATAGTTAAGAATAATAAACATATTGTTTAGGCTTCAGAGTTAGGCCTTACAAATCGAAAGAGAAAATCAATATAGAAATCACATGATTTGGCATTATTATCATATCATGAACATCCAAAACGCCAGCTAGTGAACTGATCTCATAAGTCATAATACAATATATTCACACAGTAAAGCACTATCGTAGAAAGATATGTAGCACATGCAATATTCAGCAAAATAATGATAATAATACCTGGTAGGTTCTGGGCCTACAGCTTCACAAAGCTCATACAATTGATTTGCAACCATGTAACGTACACGCCAAGACTTATCCTATCCAGGATGAAATTAAATCAAATAAATAAATAATTAAGAAAAATACTTGGTATGATGATTATAACATTGTACAAACAACATATGCATGCAACGAGACTCAATAACTAAGCATATGTTTGGGAGTTAGGAAGGAAAGAAATCAAAGGGAAATAGCGATTTAATTTTATTTTTATCTTATAGTTTTTGTCCACTCGTAAATGTACTGATAGACCCATAACTAATGTGTATAGAGAAAGAAAGCTCCATAGGCCCAATGATAATGATAAAGGCCTAGAAGAGTATGAGTGAAAGAAGGGAAGTAAGGAATTATTTAGGAAAAGGTTGTTCAAATGTGCTGGCTTGAGGAGGCGGTCTTTCCTATCTTATGTTTGGTCATTTTTACTGGTCTATGATTCTGTTTTCCTATTCCAAATATCAGAAACTTGTCTCTAGTAGTAAGATTATCTCTGATTGTAAGAAACTATTTCCATTTGAGATATTTCATAGTTCAATATATATATCCAGTTCCTAGCATGTACCTGGGAGAAGTTAACAATAACTGGAAGTATATGAGCAACACAATCTTGTGGCTCCAACAGCTTGCCAAGAGCAGCACAGCCCTCCACAGCCAACAATCTGACAGAATCTTGATCTGATCCAAGATTACAATTGCATATTAAAAAAGTAAAGTACATTCAGGAGAGTCTTCAACACCATCACACAGCCCTTGTACTAGATAAACAACACACTTTCCATCTAAAAAGAACAAAAAAATGTATTCAATACCATCTTGAGTTAGATCCTCAAAAATTGACATCACATCAGCCTTCAAATGAGCATATTCAACAGTTGCAGCAAATTTCCCAAGATTTGATGCAGCTGACCTTCTAACCATAGGCATGTCATCCTGACATAACTGACTATATATTGATCTCAACTCTGTCTTTGAAGTTTCAGGTGCACTAGGGTATGCAATATGAAATAGTCCACATGCAGAGACTCGGGCAGTAAACCATTCACCTGCTGCCAATCTCTGAACAAAAAAAATAATAGGATGAATTGGAGAGAATGCTCAATCAACATAATTAATGAGAACTAGCAGGATACATACAATACAACCCACCATAAATCGTAAACAAGCACTAATAAAGATGTGATAACTTAAAAACAACAAAATGTTATAAAATGCAGTCAAATATGAAGCATCATTCAAGTTGAACCAGATCCATTAACCAACCTTTATCTTTAATTAAGTACCAGGCTGTTTATTCAAGTAATAAAAAATTGTCAAATCCCAGGAAAAAAAAAAGACTAAAAGAAATATGATACAGAACCACATCAAGCCCCAAAACCAGAAGTGAAAAAGAAGAAAATTAGGTAACATTCATGAAGGATTTCACATGAAGTAATAGTAAAATCATTAATATTAATGAAAAAAATGTTAACTGACCTTCACCAATGGGATGAAATATTCAACCAAATCACTCTCCTTCATTTGAGATCCAATTCTACAAAGTGACTCCACAGCTTTATCTCTCACACAGGTTTCCTCAACAGTGCAAAGTGTTTCCAGCGGTGGCAGCAACACACTAGCATGTTCCACTCCCCCGACATAAGGAATGAACACTCCCAACTCTTCTGCCATTGCAAGAAGCACCTCATCATCGTCATCATTATTTTCACTCAAAAATGGAATTAATTCTCGACGGGTTCGCTCCTCCCCAAGTGCACGCGCAATTGTTGATAGCCTGCGAATCGAGTTCAACCGCAGCTGGATGTCATCATTTTTCAACTCATCTATAAGAACTGCTATTGGATATAGTGGTTCTTCAGCCATAGATATTTTTTTTAGTTACCAATATGTCTGGAAGAAACAACAAATTAATCAAATCGTCAGAAGAACAAACATAACCATGATTTCAAAAATAATGAGAAAATAGTACAATTATTAGTACAACAAACAAACAGTGAACACTACTAAATTGACACACCACCATAAATTAAATGTATAAATCCTTAAAATAAAATCCCTTGATACGCATTAACTCGATTTTATTTCCAGCTTTAACAAAAGTAACGCATATAAAATCAAATCAAGAGTTTAACAAAAATGAAAGTAGCAGCTCCAAGTTCAATTGCATGTGTAGTGTGCACGCGTGCAAATCTATAGGATTTAGTTATTTAGTTATGGCTCTCCAACTTAGAAGACACATATGCGACATCTAAAACATTCCAGAAGTTCATAAAATAAAACAATTGAAAATTCGATATATAATATTTAGTCGGAAAGTATCAGGAAAACCTAGTGTGTCAAATCCAGAAGCAAGAAGCAAACTATTGTACCTTATCGTGCGAAAGTATCGGTAACTTTCGGTTTTCCGAGCTAACGAAACGTAACTATGGAGAAATTGCGATGTTCTTCTAGTAAATCGTTGGATAGAGTTGAATATGAGTTTTAGAAACGCATTACTGTGAGCTGCTAGGCAAGGACACCAGAAACCCTAACACCATTGAAAGAGGAGGAAGAAGACGATATATGAGGAAGCAATGTGGTCACACAGAGAAATGCATTCGAATCTCTATGCTGCTTGAGTTTTACTATAAAACGCACCGTTCAGCACTTGGATGGGTTTTTTCGTTTTTACTTTTTTTTACAGATAAATGCATTAGAATATAATTTTTTAGATTTTAATTAAAGATGAGAATAACTCAAATTTTAAAAATAAATATTAATCTAATCTATTAATTTAATAAAAATTTCAAATTTAAATATTTTTAAAAAAATAATTTTATCTATTTTTTCTTTAAATATCTCTGATATTACCTTATTATTTTCTCTTTAGATATCTTTGAGATTATTTTATGTTTAATAAATTTTTTAGTTTGTAAATTATTATCATAATTATTTTAGTTTGTTAAAATATGAGTCAGTTATTCAGAATATATCAAATTAAATATAAAATATATTTAAAATATTTTTTATATAATTATCTTTTTTTATTATAAATTTAAAATATTTAACATACATGACTCAACACAAATTGTCTTTCTTATAAAAAATAATGTCTAATTTTTTCTCTAACATTATATATAATTCAAAATTTAAATTTTAATAATATTTAGTAAATTATATTTTATTACATAAATTAAAAAATAATTCTTAATGACATATTTAAAAATAAATTTATTAATTTTTAAAAGTTAAATTTATTAATATAATTAATATTATTAATACAAAATAAATTTTTCAATAGGTTAATCAACTATATTAGATTTTAAAAATATCATATCAAACCTATAAACAAGTTTATAATACATAATAAGCTAAGTTTTAATTTTGCAAAATAAATTTGATTTATATATTCAAAGTCTAATTTAACATGTTTTATTTTTGTCTTTAATTGTAATTACAAGAAGTTAATGTATATATTATTAACTATTATTTTTCTTATTTATTTATATTGAAATCTATTAGTCTAATATTTACTCATTTGTCTTTTACTTACATTATTAGTCTTTATAATACAAGTCACATTTATTAATAAAAAACAAAATATTGCTTAAATAAGGTATAGAGATATAGAATATTTTGATCTCATTAATATACTATAATGTAAAAAAGTTACATTGTTAATAAATTATAAATTATTTCGGTGCGACTTTAAAATAATCAATATAAAAATTAACAAAATGTATTGATAATTAAAAATTAGATAATAATATAAAAAAAATTATATTATTAATGTATGGACTATTTAATCTAAATAAATTGTATAAAAATAACTTTTTAGTAACTAAAAATTAAATTTTAAAGTTTCTTTAATTATTTTTATTTCTTAACATAAAATTATTTATTATTTTATGTTATAAAAAGTTGTATTTAATTTGAAAGAACATTATTTATAAATGAGACTTTGAATAAGTTTTATTTAATTTTAAATGTGTTATTTTCCTATCATTTTTTTAAGGAAATTTTCTTATATTTTGTAGTCTTATAATTCCATGTGTTTGGAGGAAATTTTCTTACATTCTTTTTTAAGTCTTATAATTTTAAATGTCTCATAATATTTTAAAAATATGAAAATATTTTTTTTCTCAAGTTTGATTCTCATTCATTGTCGATGTAAATAATTTCACTATGTTATTTGGTTAAAAATATTTCAAAAACAATTTTAAAATAATTATTATAAAAAAATAGATAATTTTATATGCATGACAATATATCATTGAATAGTATTATAAAAGAAATTACAGTGTCATTTAATTTTGATCAAATTCTATTTTCTTTTGTACTTACAGACTTATAGTGTTTATATACTTGCATGAATTCTGTATAATATTTTCTCAATAGGGAAAATTCATGTATGACTTATGATCCTTATTGTAAGAGTTTGTTTAAATTTCTGCTCGTGTTCTTGACTTCATTTTGTCTTCCTGCAGAAGCAGAACCCTTCCCATGCTCATATAGAATCTTTGTATTTGTAAATAAAAGCTCATGTTAAAGAACTTTAGCACATTGAAGAGACACATTTACAAGTTAAAACAAATCAGAGATGGTTGTTTAAATTATACAGAGTATATAAAGATGAGATATCTTGGACATTGTAAGCTTCTTATCCTGCCACTTCTCCAGAAAAAAAGAGTGCAGCTTTAGGTTCAGAGTTATTTATAAAAAATGAAACAAAATATCTATGTTTGACATCTTTCATGACCTCCAACGTATAAACAAGGAGACTGTAGAGCTTGTCCCAAGTTGCTGCTAACTCCTACTTCAACAAGGGTTGTTCAAGGGGGTCTTTAAACTTTGCCTTCTCGCTAAGATCATGGAATTCATCCACAAGATTTTGAAGCCTCGCAACAAACTCGATCAAGTTTGAAGCAAATGTTGCCAAAGACAAGGAGCTGGCACTTTCGTACACTTTGGATTCTTGCTCATTTACTAAGCCATCTCCAAAAAGGGAAAGATGTGTCCGTGACAGAGAGCTCTTGGTCGCGGTCTGTGGAAGAGACTCTGGCGTGGAAGGCTCGATTCTTATATTGAGTTTGGGATCATTCCCTATTTCACTGAGGGAAGTGATCTCAGGTTGCTTGTTCTCATTGTCTTTAACATCAATCAAATTTTCAGACTGTTCACTTTCCTTATGCTTCTGTTTTGCAGCTTCCTCCCAGCTCTCATAATTCACTAGGAGGAATGACAATCGGTCAATCTTCATCTGCAATTGTTCAGCAGCCTCATGAACATCTAAGAGAATGTCATCGGTACTTAGCTTTTCCATCCTTTCCACTTTGCTTCCAAGTTGCCGCAAGACTTTAGCTCCTTCAATTCCAACCCTTTGAAGTTCTTCGTAGAAAACTATCCTCTTCTCCGGAGGCGACTGTCATATAAACAATATATAAATAGACAACCCATTAAATAAAGTATTGTCTTAATATGATGCAGTAATTATTAGTCAATGAAGAAAATTTTCAGATTCCTTGGTCTTAATTCTTAGTTTTCATATTTGGAATGTTTGAAGGAAGACCAGCATATAGATAATCTAGAATTCATTTAAATTTGTAATAATGTATCAAAAAAATTGACATGTACTTTTCTGTGCATGTGAATTAAAGATATGTCCTAACCAATAATCGAAAACTATTTTCTTTTAAGACAGATTTTTGAAATGAATTTAATCTCTCCCACTTCTTTTAGACATTATCAAATAATTGAATCTTTGTCAACATATTTAAAGAATTCAGCTAAATTAACAAAATTCTTTAATAATTAAGTATACTCACAAATGTTTAATTTTCTAACTGTGCATATGAATTCTTTAAGTACGTTGACTAACATACTAAAGGAACCCAGCTATCACACAATTTATGAACCAAATATGCCAAACCTTGTTGATTATGGTGATATAAATTTACATGACATGCAACAATTTAAACTAACTAAAAATAATTTCATGGAAGGATCCTTTACGTTCCCTAAAGCGACAAGCTAGCATAGAACAATAACAAAAGTACAAATCACAGAAGGAAAGGTTCCTTTCACCTGTATTTCTGAAAGTATGCATCCGTGCATTGCCATGACCATGAAAGCACAATGCCTCAATGCTCCACTGACTTTGACGTAGCTTCTCCAAGGATAATTGAACATCTTGTATGGACCATGAGGTGGCTCCCATAATGCAAAATCTACCTGCAAGAGAGGAAAAAAATTCGTAAAAAGTGTACAATATAGTTTTGGCAGTTTTAGTAAGTCTTAGAAGAAGTTATACCAGAGTCTCCTCTTGACTTGACGATTGCACTGCTGTTCTATAACCACTGTAAAGAGGATCATCGGAAGCTTGATAAACAAGTATTTTGGATGGGACCCTCTCATATTCAACACATTGCAGGTACCCATTTACACAACCTAGACGAAGTACCACAGGAACCAACCTAGCAAGTCAGCAGCAAGAACAAACTAAAAAAATGTGCAACTAGCACAGACAACAGAGACGAATTCTCTGAAAGTGACATGACAAACATTTATAAAACTTGCTAAGTGAAAGTTACTTAACAAAAACTACACTTTTCAGATACTTAGACTGGTTTCTATTTTGTTCTCAATGTAAAAGTGCATGAAAACTAAAACTCCATGTTTAATATTCAGCTTTTTTTTATGTTTTTCATTTAAAATAGCCTCAACTCAAGTGACATGTGAGAAAAAGTGAGCAAGACCTTCTAAAGATGCGGCAACTCCATTGAAATTTTTCACCACCAATTTATGCAGATCCTCCCCAGACCAGATGGGGTAAATGCATATATTCACAGACAAACTTACACCAGCTCCAACACCAATAAGAATCAATCTGTAAAAAGCTGTAGACAAATGCAACCCGTGTCTCCCAGACACTAACACAATACAAAATGTCAACAAGAATACACGAAAGCCATATTCATATTGCTTCATCGCAGGGTACAGCTTCATGAAGCTCGCACAAAACCCTGCAAATTAACCACCACAACACAGTCTTCATCATACACACACATATCATCATTAATCATGAATGATGCCTTCAAATAAAGAAAAATGGCCAACCAGCTACAAAAATAGAGAACACAATAATAAGCTCCTCGAAAGTTGAATCAACCAACACGGATAACTGTGCAATTCCCAGAGCAATCACTCCAGCAGAAACTGTTCCCAAAGCACGATTGAACCCTTTGTTAAGAGTTGCACCTGTACTCCCACAACACGCAAAAAAAAAACACTAAACATTTTCATCTAGCAATATAATTAAAGACCCAAAGGAAAATTTCCCAGAAATTATTATATGATCAAAGGCCACCAGATATCTATATTCCATAAGAATTTCTAGTCACGTAAAGATTGGTCAAAACTATAAACACATGTTGGACCATACAATAATTTCTCTGAGAACTCATAACTGGTAATAGAATGCAGCTATATATTGAATGATAAATTATTATATAGTCCATAACTAACATGATCTCATTGTAATTAAGTGTTAATAATTCATTCTTATAAATTAAAAATATTGATTAAATAAATCGTAACAATATTGATCGACATGATAAACACGTATAGTGATGAGTGCATGTAATAATTTATCGTATGGAATACCTATGCTGAATTCGAAAACGACGACAACGGTGAGGATGGCCCAGATAGAGTACTTGCTAAGCTGTTCCTCCTTGATATATATGAAAAGCGAGACAATAGCCAAGGATAATCCAGCTTTCATGGCAAAGACGACTTTGCGTCGGTCATTGCGACCCATCTCGTACAATTTGGAGGCGAAGTCTTTGGAGCCATCGCGGAGTCTAACGACGCGATCAGATAGCGCGTCGAGGAAGGAGCGTTTGGGGTTGTCAGCATTGTCGTCGTTAATGAGGTTAAAGTCCTTCTTGGAGAGGAGTTTCTCTTTGCTCCTTTCTAAGAAACTGTGCCGGAATGACCCCACTCTCGCGGTCGACTTTCTCTCCGATTGCATTAGTTTATGCATTGCGACGTTGGAACGATGATGATTGATGAGGCTCAGAGCATTCTTGGATGGAATGCTTAGAGGAGAGAATGAAGGAACTGTTGCATCATGAACCCGCCAAGTGACACCCTTCTTCCGTTATTGTTATTTTTGGAAACAAACTAACAATTTATATATTATCTTTTTAAATTGTCTTCAAATCTTAAATCATTATTTTTATATATAGTTTATTATATATTATACATGGATAATATTTTTCTTTGAGCCTGAATACATTCATTAGAAGCTAGCAAACAAATAAACTAATTTCATTTCCCTAAAACTCGGACAAGTATTACAAAGACAATGCCAACTTGCATTTTCATTATTTATTGTAGATAGAGTCGGGTGTATTCACTAACTCCTACTTTTCCTTAATTTTTTATTTTATTTTTTGAACTAGGATTCTCTGCATATAAAAAAACTACAGGACTATGTACTTCTCTTCTCATCCAACCATTCAAAGAAAAAAAACATTAAGTTGTATTTTTATTTATTATTTAATATATAATTATTATTATTTTATGTGATCATGATTTTCAGGCGGTCGGTCACTTTGTAACTACAATGAATTCATACACATTTGCTTGCTTGTGGTGCAATGAACAATCAAGAAGTCGAGTCTTGCTCCATTACGACTACATAATAACTTAGGCCAAGAGGATATCAACTCTTTACTGATACAATCTTGTTTTTATTGTTTGACCCTTGGCAATAAATATAATTTTATTCTAGTTCTCTAATATTGTTGCATTTCTTTCCTCTTGTTTCTTTAGTTTGTTCGAGAAAATTTTTTATTTTTTATTTTTGAAGAGAAACTTACTTATGAAAACTTCAAATTCCAACTCAAATAAAAGCTTTCAAATAAATCAATGAACAAAGAACAATCTTAAAGTCGAGTCACGAAATTAAAACTTTTTCTCCTTTTTGGCTTCTGAAGTCACGAGAAACTTACAGACTTTGTATAAACGGGATATACATGAAGTGCACTAATGGAAGAACACAATGACGTTCGTGGTTGAAACAAAATGTTGAACAAATTTCCACAAGTAGAGGCAGAGGTTGGTGAAAAGGATAACGGCATTCATGAACCTGTTGGTACCTTTTTAGTGATCAAAACTCTCTTTAGCATCCATACTCCATTAATTCCATTAAGGCTAGCTCTACCGCAGCCACGTTATATGGATAACTTCGATTCATGGTTATTTTCTTCATTCTTGATCCGCAACTGCACACTAACATTTGCAACATGCAAAGTCTCTTTATTTCTTCTTTATTTTTAATTATTAAACTATTACATTTTTTTGTTTGGGCCTTGCATGGCTGTTCATTTTGTATCTTTTTACTTGGGCTGGAGTGGGTACATCTTGTGCTTCACTCTTAGCCTTTTAAACCATCTTTGACTCTCAGAAAAAGAAGAAAAAAACCCATGTAGTAGAGACAAAGTTATGTATAACACGGTACAAAAACTGAAAACTATGTTTTATACTGTTGAATAGTGATAACTTATAACGACAGAATTCAATTTCAAACTGCCTTATGAGGCAAATAGAAAGAGAAACAAACTCAAGACTTGTTCATAGGCCAAGTGCAAGTTATGAGGCAAATTATTGTGTCCCAATTGGATGGAACAACACAGTGGAGTGGTTTGCAATGTGCAAGCTGAATTGCCCTCCTTTTTCACTCACATCAATCTTTGTCCCCTTAGGAGCACTCATCTCAAAACTTGACACCAACTTTGCAATCACAAGTCCAAGTATTGGCAATGCAAGTATGATCCCAGGGCAACTCCTCCTTCCCACACCAAACGGCACAAACCTAAAATCAACCTTTCCTCCTGCAACAGCATCTGTTGCACACTCCTCTTCCAAGAACCTCTCTGGCCTGAACTCCTCAGGTTTCTTCCACCATGAAGGGTTGTTGGCAAGCCACCAAGCATTCACCACCACCTTGGACTCTTTTGGAATCGTGTACCCTCCTAGCTTTGCTTCTTCCAGGTTCATGTGGGGCACCAGAAGAGGAATTGGGGTGTGAAGTCTCAGCGTCTCTTTCACCGTGGCTTGTAAGTATGGTAGCTCGTGTAGGTTGGATTCTGTCACTGCATCCCCTTTAAGCACTTTCGATATCTCATCACGAATCTTGCTTTGAACCGTTGGATGATTCACCAACTCTGCTATTGCCCACTCCATGGACCACAGTGTAGTCTCAATTGCTGCAACGTTGATGTTTTCTACTATATAGATCACATTCTCTTCACTGATTTCTCCCTTCATCTGAGCATCTATGATGTGATCAATTGCACAGCTGATCTTGTGCTTCTCTCCATTCGCAGTCATTATTTGTCTGTACATACCAACAAATACTCACATTATGAAGGGAAATTAAATGAACCACGTGCACATATATCAACAAATAAAGAGTGCATGCATAAAAAGTGATCAAATTATCATATACGATAATTTTGTTATCGATTTTTTTTATTGATTGAACATGTAAAAATTAGTGTATATATATAGATTTTTTTAATTTTTATTTTAAAATTGATAATTAAAAATTAATTTATTTTCATGATATCTAATTTTTTTAATTAAATATTATTTTAATATTACAGATATTAATTATAAGAGACTCAAATTAACTCCTATCCCATGACAAGTTTTACAATTATTAAGTCAAGACTCAAGAGGTATAGTTCGGGTATATACAGATTTTAAACTGATATCAAATGAAATATAATGAGTAAATAGAAATTGTAACTTTGGAGGGTAATCTCTCTATTCACTTATATTAAAACTTGAAAAATAATATTAGTTACCTTCTTTTCTCAACGTAGTGGGTGTTGAAGAATGCCAACCTCCTAGATTGCAGGTCCTTGCACTTGTTGAGGTATCCCCTCAAGAATGGCCTGAGCAATGGTATAAAATCCCCATAATTGTATTCAAAACTCTGTGCCAAACGGCTTCTCTCGGAGTTAAACCTCGTGGCCTGAATGAACAAAGGATCCTCTTGAGACTCAAACTTGGCATCGAACATCATCCTATACATGATATTGTACAGCATCAGCTGAAGACGCTTTCTGATAACTATCCCTTCACTCCTCACTTTCTCATTAACGTTGAGGTCACGCACCACCAAGTCCATCTCCTCCTCCCACATGTTGCTACAGTTGTGGACAACCTTGTTGGTGAAAAATGGCAAAGTCATTATTCTGCGCATTTTGCGCCAATGATCACCGTACACAGTGAAAACCATGTCTTGGCCATTCCCTGTGAAGATGTCAAACACAACGTTTCGTGGGCGAGAGCCAAATTCCACGCCTTGTGAGTGGAGGACATGTGTGGCAAGCTCAGGGTCAGAGACCACGACCAAGTTTTTGGAACCAAGTTTGAGTAGGAAAACGGGACCATAGGTTTGTGACATTGATGCAAGAAGACGGTGGTTGAGGTCATTGCCAACTTGTAGCCAGTTACCAAATATAGGAACAGATAGAGGACCTGGGGGAAGTGTGGAAGAGTGTTTGTTTGAAGAGGTTGAGGAAAATTTGTGTAAGAATATTAGAGCAAAAATGATGGTGGCACCAGCAATAGAAATATGCGGTTGAGAGAAAGGTAAGAGTTTTGTAGTTGAAATAAACACTATTGTGATGAGAGTGAACAACAGTGGTTTGTTGATTTGAAGAGCCATGCTTAATGGATGAGTTAGTAATAGGTAGTGGTTAGAATAGAGAGGGAATATGTTTATATATTAGGGGTGATGTGGTAGGTGCCCCATGGTTTGTGATGAAATCTATGGGCTGAATTAAAGTAATTTTCAAACCAAGGTAGGACAATGGGTACGTGATAGGTGAACAAACCGTTTTTTGAAGTCCAAATGTGTAGTTGGTGAGGTGATGGATTTGCTTGGTTACGAAGCAGACATTGCCAAGTGGGTCTGTTCCAAGTACACTTTGGTCAAGCCAAGCCACCCGTGACTGAGTAAAATTTAATGATTGGTTATGCAACATGGAATCTTGCATTGTCAAAAGTTAACACGTAAGCCTTTATTGGCTTAAATAGAACAAGTACATGTTCGTTGTTTAATTTGATGAGTTGATCAAATAATTCGATATAATCTTTTTTTGTGAAACTAGACATAATCTACTCATATTATAAAGACGATTTATTCAATAAAAAATCTTATTTAATCTTTGTTGTGTGTTAAAACTGGTCCGCAGAAAAATTAACTATAGCCTATTGAGATACCCACAAAAGAAAAGGGGGAAAAAAAAAAACGTCTTTATCTAGTTCTTTTCGACTTTTACGTTTTCTGACGTTTTCTTCTCTGTAACGTGTGGCATTAGTTTTACGTGAATTACCTTCCTTCTGGTCAATTTTGGTATAAAAGATAAAACAGTCATAATATTTTGACATTCCTTAATTTATATTACCCATTCACTACTTTGTGATTAAAGAAAATACAAGTTTTATTGAATTCTTCTTCGAGTCTTCACATTTTATGGATTTTAGAAAATATGATAAATATGTGTTTTTATATATTTTTTATAATTATGTTATTATATAAAGTATTTGATAATTAATCAACGTTGAGAAATTTGATTCGTTATCTAAATATCTTATTTAAAGAAATTAAGTTTAATATTATACTCAAGCTAATGATTTACTAAAATAAAACTTTATATATAAATATTTTAAAATATTCACATTTATAACATAAAAATAGATAATGACTTAATTAAAAATGACATGTTTTATTACATTAAACAAATAACATAATATTAACAAATCTTAAAAAATATATATTATATCTTTTATTCATCTTTTTCTATATTATTATTTGTTATAAATCACTATATAAATAAATTTGAAGACAAAAATGGTAGATCTCTAAATTAAAAAAGAAAACAAAATAAGCAAAAATTTTGAAAGACCAAAACAAATTTAAAAAAAATTGAGATAAAAAATATATTTTATTTTTTATGAATATAATAATATTAAAAAAAACTAATAATTTTTTTATAATCATATTAAAATTTTATATTTAAATATGAAAATATATGTATATAAGAGATAATTTTATTTTTAAAAATTAAATTAAATTATATAACAAATTATCTCACAATTATATAATTTTTTTAAAAATTGAACCGCTTGTAGTTATGGGTTCGGGGAATGGCACCTCCGACCCAGGGCTTACTTTTTTGTTAAAACAAAACTAATGTGTACTGTGTACATAATATAAAAAAATTAACAGATGTATAAGAATTTTGTTTTTTTACGCGTCAGAAAAAAAATGATGATTTTCCGTATAAAATTGTCGCAATAGCAAAAGAAAAAAAGAAAATAGTAGAGATTAGTTAAATACATCAAACTTTCTAATAAAAAAATGCATCAAACGATTTTATTATGTTATGTGTAATTTCTTATATATAACATTTTAGCTTAGTCAAATTCTTATCGGTGACTTATTTATTTACTTAATCAAATATCAAATTTTCATCTGCGTATAGGATAATAGGAATATGTAAACATTGTTCATATTAAGTAATATATATATATATATATATCTATTAAAATTTATTTCATTTAATAATTTATGTTTTATATTAAATATTAACGATTGAATTTAAAATTTTTAACTTAATAAATTTTCAAATATGTAATATTTTTACAGTTTTTTTATAAATAAAGAATAACATTACATGACTATTAAATAGTATTTTGTAATATTACAAAAGGTAACAAGTTTCACATAATCTAGTTTTGTCTTTAAATATTGACTTGTGTACTAATTTTCTCGTATCTCACGTCAACTTGAAATAGGACATGAAAATAATATAACAACTATTATTTAATAAACTGATTTATAACATTAACTTGGACATAAATTTCAAATTTATTATCAGAACTTTTTATATCTCGTAAAATATTACCCGTCATTTATAAAAACTTGACATGATGAAATTAGACATGAAGAGTCGAGTTTTTTAAGATTATAATAATTAAATTTGTTTACATGGATGTAGGTCAAGCTTGTTTGATGTAATCTATTTTTTAAATTTTATTATTGATACAAAATATTTATTAATTTTATTAATTACTAGTTTTTATTAAAAAATAATAATTTGTAATATATTTTTTATTTTCAATTATATTTTTTCGTACACAAAATTCAAACTCAAAATATTAATATATTATTTAAAGGAATCAAGTTTAATATCAACCTTTAATGTGTCTTCCGTTTAAAATTCAACGTGAATTTAGTTTGTGACCGTTGTTACTTTTAAATTTTAGACTTAATGGAATGGTGTAACATTTCTCCTTTTATAAATAGTGTGCACATGCTCGACGAATCGAAATTTCACCAATAATGAATTATACCTTCTATTAAAATTAAAATAATAAAAAAAAAAGTTAGCTGATGTCTTACTCTACTATCTCTTAAAGAAAAGATCTATTAGTTTTAACTTCAAATATTTATAATTTATATATGTTCACACTTTTTTCACATGTTATATACGTATTTTCTTTACAACTTTTAACATTTTAACTTATATTATTTTTTAAAAAATGTATAAAATAACTATACATATTTCTCTTAATTCCTAATTTTGTTTAGATGTTGTTTATAATTATTTCATGATTAATTGATTTTATGTTATTTGTGAATTATCTAATCTTTAAATATTATAACAATTTTGTGGTGTTACATGTGTGTAAGTTTATATTATGATGACAAAAGTTGTGAAAAACTTAAATAAGAGTTAATTTTATTTTATTAATGGGAAGGACAAAATAAGAAGGAGAGAGAGAAACTAATTACTCCCAAGGCACAAAGTTCCTAGATCTCTAAGGATAAAAAGAGATAATTGTCTCTCACGTTCAAAGAAACAAAAAAAAATCACTTGAAGAATTAATTTCTAATTTTGTCAATCAATCAACGCATTTACTTTCCTCCCCATAAATGTGTCTAAAGGAGATATCCCAATGGAGATGGAAAAAGACTCTTATTTTGGAAATTAGAAAAGCATATGAGTGAAAGAGTGACTCCTCGTGCTTGATGAGCAACAACTCATTCCTTGAGTCTAATTCATAAATAACATAATTATATCTCGCCCCATGCGTAATATCAATACCATGATAAATGATAATTTTGCATACATATTAAGACACCACAATATCCTACATATCTTTTAGTCTATTGCCCAAAATTATTTTTGAAGAAGACTGCCAAAACCTAATTTACCTAGATTTTTCAAAGAGCTCCCTTTTGTGTTGATTTTGATAATAGACTCATTTGATGCACCCTACCTAGCTAGAAGGTGGTCGACGATAACAAAATTTTTATTGAAAGTCAATATGGATAGAGCTACTATGGTGTTGATTTGGTTGATCTCATACTACTCATGCCAAATAAAATCCTAAAAAAACTTCATAATTCCTTGCCCTCCACATAGTTCAAGCAATGATTGCAAAAAAAATATACTTATATTATTAGTTGAATTATCTCTTAGTCAATTGTGAAAGTCATCATCCTCATCATCCCACCAAACGAAATTGAAAGTTTTAAATCTTCTTAGCTTTACAACAATCTCCTAATATATGAAAAAAGTCATCTAAAGAAGCACCACACATACAACAAAAAGGGTCAAAATACATAGATCTTGCAACTCTAAGAGTGTTAGTTGGTAAACATAGGTGGCTAGAAAAACCTCAAAAAGTGTTTAATGTTTTATGGGATTGGAAAATACCACACCCAACTTTTGAAATCAAACAAGGTGTTACAAGGAACGGTTAATGATATCATCTTTAGCCAAGAGAGAGAGAGGTTGATAAAAGATTATAGTTCCAATTCCCATTATGAAAGATAATAGTTAAGCTAAATTTTGAAAACAATATATATATATATATATATATATATATATATATATATATTTTGTAAGATTCATTTTTTAAAATAAATATATATTTAAACGATAATGAATATGAAAGAAATGAAAAAGATAAATCATTTACCAAACTTACGCCTATGATGTATAATCACATGTTACGTGCATTTATACGTAACAACTTTAACATATATTACTACATGAGTCGTTCTACCATTAAGCACCTTAAGTGTCCCATGGGAAAGGTACCAAATTTAGTAATTTTAAAGTACTTTTGTGTTAAGTGCGTGCTTGGTTTCAATTTTGAAACGCAAATTCTTTTTCTCTCTCCATGTTCACTTACTAATTTACGAAAAAGCTGTTATTTTCTCCTTCCGATTAAACGTGAAAATTCACGTTTCAACGCATATCCAAACACACGGTAAGTGATATATGAATGGACCATAACTTAAAACCGTTGAATACATTAATTAAAATTTTAACAATTAAGATGAATTAAGTACGTTATGTGACAGGTACCAAATTCAGTAATTTTAAAGTATTGTGTTAAGTGATATATGAATAGACCATAACTTAAAATAGTTGAATATATTAATTAAAATTTTAACAATTAAGATGCATTAATTACAGTAAATATTATATTTTTTAAGTTATACTTTTTAAAATTCCACAACCATCACTATCAAAACAGAAGCGACTTTATTTTCAATATATGTTGTTAAGTTTGTTGTTTGTCAAATTAATGAACTAATAAATAATAAAATGTTTTTATTTCATAACATAAAAAAAAAAATCATTGAATTTTATCTAATTTTCCAAAATTTATTCTCTGT